TTCCCCACAATCCAGCAGCACATGGCCGCATTATTACTTGCAACCTGAAACGTAGCTGGTTTTGGGGGGGTGGAGTGACCTTTCACCCTGCCATGTCGTGTCTACTTCTATTGTGTGTATGTGCCCCCTTACGTTACCCACAAGCCCCTGCGTCAAACCGAGCTCGTGCCACAGGCAAACTCCCCTTTAACCCCTCCCTGCCTCTCTGTGGCGCATCCCAAATTTTGGGGTTTTCTGCTGTTGTTGTTGTTTTTGTTTTGTAGGGATAAAAAGCAAACAGCCCCCTTTTTGCACTCTTTTTGCGTTGGCTTCAAACTGCAGTGTGATGCAGTCAGTTAGTTCTCTAAACCTAGAACTTCTACCGCAAAAATTGCGCCAGTTATGTTAAAGAGATGCAGGTGAATTTGTCAAAAATTCACATTTTTGTCCCACTGCGTGAACAAAATAGTATTATCTTCTGGTGTTGCTTTCATTTTTGGCTGGCCTGTATGAGGTGGTCTCTGCTTTGAAGGCTGAAAACAAAACGTTTTATTTTTCTGCTTGACACTAATCAGAATGAGTTGTTCTGTTGGACTGTAGTGCTGAACCAATTCACCATGAACGCAGGACTTTTTTTTCTTTTTAATGGGTGATTAACGCACCCACACACACCCTCACACTCACACACACTCTCTCACACACACACACACTGAACGTTAGCTACGCCAGGTAGGTAAATTAATGTATAAACAAAATAAAAATATAATCAAATTAATAAATTAACATGCTGTCGTTTGGTGTAATTTTATTAGCCCACTAAACGTGGAACTAAAATGCACAAAAAACCCTAAAGACAACAAAATGAACGCCCCCACAACCAAAGAAAGAAAAAAAAAATCACACACATATGTACAATGATACAACAGTGATTTTCTCAGCTTTTTAAATTTAAAATTAAATTAAAAAATTCTAACATAATAATAATAATAATAATAATACATTATCCGGAAGGCAGAAGTATCACCATGTCTTCATTTAGAATTAAATTAAATTCAAATTATCCTCTTGTCATTTCGGCGTGATTTGCTCGTCACATCCACGTACTTTGAAAAAATTACGGTTTAAACAAATTTTAATCTGGATTGGATGGAGGCTCCTAATCTGAACACTTCAGTCAGCACCAAGATCACCACCTGTAAACTACACTAAACTCCAGCAAGACATTACTGTACATCTGTACAAAACAAAAAATAAAAAAATCCAGCCCGCGTGCTGAGTTGAGAACAATTAATTGTTAATTACTGCGAAATACGTGTCCTATTTATTCGACAACAGTGGCTTAATGCATTTCAAATGCAGCTTTCCCCATACAGCTCACCCACACCCTCATACAGCTGCCCACAGTGGAGGCCTGCCTTCCCTCTGCTGCCCTCTCCTCAGTGGAGATTCCGGACCTGTCTGCTTCGACAACCCAACAAACTGATTACTCATCAGTCCTAGACTAGTCTTCATCATGTATCTTCAGTATGAGCTGTAGACACGCGTTCTTTTTGTTTATTTCCATCGAGGAGTCGTCATGCTTTCAGTTTACCATTGCAGTAAACGTTCATCATCATCGTCATCTTCATCTTCGTCGTTTTTTCTTTATTGTGCGTTTATTGCACAAATCACTTGACTTTTGTTTTGAAATTACTTTTCAAACTCAACAGTAGACAGTTGTTTACGAAGCTATCACGTTTTTCCATCTTGCACAAAAACTATGAATTACTGAGATCCATAAACTCGCCATGTTTATTTACAATTTACAATCTTAACTATTTTCCAGTAATCTCTCTCTAAAGACTACTGGATTCACTGAGATAAAATATGTGTATAAACAGAATTAGGAAAATTTAGAATATCATAATTTTCCTTAAAAAAGCCCAATATACAATGATGAAGCCTGCAGCCTCCACTACAGGCTTCTAGAACACAGGCTTTCACTTAAAAGGGTGAAGACTGGGGTGGAAGTATAGGCCATTAAAAAGGACTTGCCCAGAGTGTTCTATACTTATTGACAATTTTAACATCACAGAGAAGAGTCCATGTGCAAAAGCACTGAAACTATATGAGATATGTCAAAATAGGTCAAAAACAGAGGTCAGAATGGCTTTCATTTATCAGGCTAACCAGGCTGTATTCTATGCTGCGTAAGTATTCTTCTTCTATAGACACTGTCAATGAGGGATAAACAGACCACAGAGGATAAGATTTTGCTCTAAACTTGTTGTCTACTATTTTTTACTGATCATAGTAGATTGTATTATTGAGAAAATGTGAATTCATGTTGATAAGTTTTATTGTTTATATTTAATGAAACATGGCATAAATCACTGAACGAACTTTTATTGTCATGCAAACCACAACAATAACCACTACCACCCCACGTAGATAGATAGATAGATAGATAGATAACATCATATGCAAAAGTTTGGGCACCCCTGGTCAAATTACGTTTTTCATTGATTTTCTAAGTGAAAATAAGTCATTACATGCACTACAAGGAACACATGTAAATATGGCGTTTTCTGCAAATTAAGGGCAAATTTCAGTTTGTTTGCTTAGTTTAACATATTGGGGGAAAACAATCCATAAGATATAAAAGGTGCCATAACTTTTACACAGGCCCTATTTATTTTTGTTTTATTTTTCCCCAGTATGTTCAATGTGTTATGTAATTCAGAAAACAAACAGTAATTGTGCATTTAAATGTGCAGAAGTGAGTTCTCTGTAGAGGAAGTGTTAACTTATATTCACTTAGAAAATCAACAAAATGCGTGATTTGACAGGGCACCCAAACTTTTGCATATGACTGTACATATAAATGAATAATCCATAATCCTGAAGGTAATTGCAGGGTTACAGCAGTAGGAAAAGGAGATGACCATATATTAGAAAAAAAAGACACAAGACTTACAGGTGACTTGACCTTACGCAACTCTATGGGTTAACAAGAGAAACATTAACATATGACATAACCTAAGGTAGTCCCTAATGAGATTTAAAATGTGCACATAATATCTGTGTGCATAGTTCTACGTGAAATAATAACTAACACTAATTAATGCACTAATATTTATTAATAACTGGGCATGGGTATTACAACCTGCAGCTTGAGCATCATCCAGTTGAACCAATAGTCGCTTTTGGTGTCCTTTAACCTTCAAGCCATTGCCATAGCAGGTCATTTTTTTTAGATTATTTATTTTTATTTCTATCATTCCTATTCCTCCAGTCATCATGAAAATTTAACATGACGGAAAGTGGAAGTGCCTTTTTCAAATTCTGTAAAAAATGAAAAATAAGAAACAATCAAAATGGACATACAAGGTGTTGTTTTGACAGGCAGTATATGTATCTATCTATCTATATATATATATATATATATATATATATAATATATATATATATATCTATCTATCTATATATCTATCTATCTATATATATATATATATATACACACACACACATACATACATACATACAACATACACACACACACATATATATATATATATATATATATATATATATATATATATATCACAGTGCACACATCTTGGTGGTCAATTTTTTTCCAGCACACAGACACAAAAATAGCCCACCATTATAGACTGAAAAGAGGCAATTTCATCTTCCCCACAGACTCTCTGGATAAGAGCTGTGAGCAGACATAAAAAAAAGAAAAAACAAAGGTGTATGCATGCAGTCCCTAAACTCCTAGTGGGTTTTTAGCTTTTTCTCTTTTTAAATTAAATGATTTGTTCCTAATTGTGTATCTGGGATCTGGTAAGGTTTCTGTGTTATTTTATTATTTGTTGCATCATATCATAATGTGTTTATGATGTTTATTAAATTCCATCAATAAAATTTCAGCATAATGAAATGGTCAAAGTAATTTTTGATGTGAAATGCTCTATTCCAGAGAAATTTTGTGTCAGAATTGTTCACAGTGGTGGTGATAGGAACCAGACATCCACCTGTAAAAGCTTCCTCACAGAAAGTTTTTAAATGAAATGGTTATGAATATGCTGTCTGATGCCTGCACCTATGTTTCACAATAGTTTTAGAAAGTCTTGGCCTAAAAGGTAAAAGCACACGCAAAGGGTACTGTAACCCTTTTCCTGTTTCACCATCATCAACAGTACATATAAAAAGTCAGAAGACACATGTTGGTTCACTGGTGGTTTAGGATAATGAAAAAGAATTATCACATTTCTCGATCCCTGGTTCCTGTCACAATCACTGTAAAGAAATCTGGACAGAGTTGGTAAGTTTCTCTACTATAACCATTTCACATCAGTCTGAATGACTTTACATCTCAACCACTACAAGGAACAAATGTAAATATGGCATTTTTCTGCATATTGCAGTGCTAATTTCAGCCTGTTTGCTGAGTTTAACATATTGGGGGAAACAATTGTGTCCTAACTTTTACACAGGCCCCATTTTGGATAGTGAAAAAAAAAATCTTACATTTGTAGACACCACAATCACTGTTCCCCATCACAATCACTGTAAATAAATCTGGACAGAGTTGGTAGGTTTCTCTGCAATAAACAATTTCACATCACACCACTCTGAGTGACTTTACACCTCAACCACTAAATTACACAATTTTGAAAAATCCTCCTTTAAGTAGATCCATTCCTATTTATGAAGAAGTCTACAGCTTCTGCTTTCTTCTGGTCTAACTCACACCATCCTGTATGCAGAATCTATCATTTGTAGTCTTACTGTATCACGGCTCAAATGTGCTGCCTCCTGTTTTCAAGTGTTTCTCTTAATGACGTTTTGTAGTTACCCTCCTGTTTGGAGCATAGGTTAACATAGCTTCGGCCTGTTGTAGCCTGTCTCAAGTTAATCCTTGGTGTACAAATTTGGCATCGTTTTAGACGAAATGTTCTCTCCCATACGGTTCTGTGTGAAACAGAAGTCTACCTCACTGCAGCTCGTCTTGCTAAATGCCTTGTTTTACTTAAACTGATGCAGGATCTGCGCTGGTGACATTAGCAGCAGTACTGGCGTAGCAAGCTGCTTTCTTTGCTTTAGCTATTCTGTAGCCAAACGCATGCGTTCTCTTACTGGCGCATGCGCTGATCGCTTCCCCATAGCTTTGCTGGCTTTTCTGGTATTGAACAACAACAACAAACAAAAAATAAAATAAAACAGTTTCCTTAGATGTCAGCGTGGATCAAATATGGCTTTTCATCGAAATGGGACTTAGATATTGGCGAGCGAGGAGACACGAGGACGTGATCTGAAGCGTGATCGGGCCTTTTTTGCTGCTTTTACGCCACCGTTTTCTCCGTTGCAGATGGTGTCCAGCGACTACTTGGTGCATAATATGAAGGAGATGATTGGAGGCTGCTGCGTTTGCTCAGATGAGAGAGGCTGGGCCGAGAACCCTCTGGTTTACTGCGACGGACATGGCTGTAACGTCGCCGTGCATCAAGGTAAATCACCTTTTTTAAACACCGATGCTGTGTTTTAAGAAGAAATACTGGTCGATAGCGTACGTGCGAAACGTGTCGGCTAATTAGCCAGCTTAGCTCCGCAGCTAAAGCTGAAGCTGGCGCTTGCATCAGTGCAGACACGGACGCATAATTTTACCTTTTATTTAATCATTATATGTGTACAACCTATAGTTGTATTTACACACGCTCGTTTTATACAAGCTTCAGCTCAATATTTTAGAGTTTTGTTTCTGACCACCGCAAGCAACATTGCTAACGCTAGCTAGGTTAGCTGGCTAACACCTCCAGCTTCGCCGGACCACATTTTAAATTTAGCTATTATTTTGTGTACGTATTTCAAGAAAGCCATGGTTCGGAATGTTAATAAGTCACTTAAGGCCTTATTTGTAAACTCGATAGTGAATTTAGCTCGATATAAGGCTACCTATGAGTTTTAAACATTCACTGTTAGCGGTGTCCTGATCGTTAGCTCGCTAGTGGTTGCTATGCTAACACAGGATGTGGGTTGCAACGCTAGTTGAGCGGGACGTGTAGCTGGTTAGCGGCAGAAAGCCATTTTCTTACCAAAACAGTGAATCGAAACTCTCATGTTTGTGTTTATGCGCATATTAAGAGCTTTCCTGGTTTGTCACGTTTTAGCTTGAACGCTTTAGCACTAGTGGCTAGCTAACGTTAGCCAGGTCGTCCTGTCTTATCAGGACACGCCGGTAGTTTGTGGTTATTCTCTAGTAACGTTAGTCTAGCTAATGTTGTCCAAAAGTTTGCAGACATCCAGCGTTTCTTCTAAAATCAAGTCTATTAAAACAGAGTTTGCCCCCGTTTTCTGCAGTAACATCGCTGTGAAGATTTGGTTGCATTCAGCCACAACAGCATTAGTGAGGTCAGGTACTGATGTTGGATGATCATTTTTGCATCACAAACGCCACTTAATTCATCCCAAAGCTATTGGATGGAGCTCCATCACTCCAGACAACGCATTTCCACTACTCGACAGTTCAGTGTAATATCAGAATACTTTAGGAAGTTTTTTGCGATGCACGATATGTCACAATATTTATGTTTTCTGACATCTGATAAGTTAGAACAGATGAGGTAGTGCCACAACACTGTCAAAAGCAATATTTCCATTTATCATTTCACACACTGTGCTGCATTAAATCCATTTAAACAAGACTAATAATGCTCTGATTATACGGTAAGGAGGTGTGTAAGTGTTGACAATTTTCACTGTATGCTCAAACAAGCATATTGTGATGTGTTTTGTCATGATAATGATAAATGTTGTCCTGTTGCCCAGCTCTTGTATAACATTTATTTTTCTAGGGCTACAACATTCAACAAAATGAATAAAATGCAGATATTTTAGTGTCATCCACACATTCCACTGTTCTGTAGTACAATAAATCAGTGATTAAATATCAGTTTGAATTGTCACATCTAAACATCTAATTTTTTTTATTTTATACGTCTTGTATCGATATGCTTCTGATAGGCAGCCCTACTAAAACGTGTTTTGTTTGGATTGGACTGTTTTGTCCTGTTTTCTTCTTGTAAAACGACACCAATGAGGCTTACACAGTGCTGTGATTATTAAACAGACAGAAAGCTGATTTCCAGAAAGAAAGCTCTTGTTACTGTTTATGTATTTTAGCAGTTCTTTTAGAATAATCTAAGCACCTAGTAACGACACACACAGGAAATAAACAACAAACTGCTTGATAACAGGGACACAGTTACTATTTGAGCATTGTTATAGAAAGAATGTTTATCAAATATATAATTTAATTTATCACAATGCTGTAACTGAAACTTAAAAGCAATATTACGGTATACTAAAATATCACCCAGTGCAAGTTGCAACTATGCTTTATGTCTCTTTAGAGTGATTTTGATATGGCATTGTGATTTTTACATAGTATTGATTCATAGAAATTGATCACAGAACATGTTGACAGTCTTGACAGTTGGAGCTAATTGTCACTGATGGCATAGTTTTCTTGAAATTATTGGTGTTTTGTTGTTTATTATTAACTTATATATGTATATGTACACACACACACACACATTTTAAAAATATCCAGCTTCTGTTTTGTTCCATTTTAACGAATTCCAAAGAGAAAATATTTTATATTTTTATGAAACAGGAAACAGTGGTGTACAGTGACTGTGGCCATCTCCATTCACTTCAGCCCATGAGATGCTTCACATCTAAGAACAAAAAAAAAATCACTTTTGATGGCTTATTTGAATACCCAAATAAGTAAACAAATTCTATGATGTGTTTGCAAAGCCATATATTGGAATACTACCCCTCCATAATGCTTCCCTCAGGGTTTTTTCAGATCTGTGGGAGACACTACAACATTATTAATAATGTTAATATTGTTATTACAGATAAGTACAACTTAATCGTGCAAAGTACTGTTTGTGCTGCAGAAAAATAACATAAATATTTCCACCATAAATAGGTGTTTGTTTAAGCATTAAGATGTCAGCAACCCATTTTTATTGTCAGGTTTTATTAAATCTCTGTTTTTTTTGCATCCTAGCTTGCTATGGAATTGTCCAAGTCCCAACTGGTCCCTGGTTCTGCAGGAAATGCGAATCTCAGGAACGAGCTGCCAGAGTGGTAAGTTTGACATGTTTTAGGCCATTTATAGTTTAAATTAGTCAGATTATAATGTCTTGTTTTGCGCAAACACTGTGTTTGGTTTGTCTGTTGTGCGGGTACACAGGGACAAGCCAACAATACATAAATAAATAAAATAACATGACCACTTGTTGAACTCAAACCAGATGTGTGTGAAGTCCAGCTTCAGCTGTAATGAGTACTGGAAAATATCAGTAAAGTTCAGTATTATGATAAATATCATGGTATTTAATGATACTGAAGTTTGCTTTGATATAAAGTTAATCAAACCGTACTTCCTGAACCTTACTACTCTATGCTTAATAAATGTTGTACAAACCTGACACAGCTAGTTTTGTTGTTGTTTTTTTTTTTTCTTCTTCATGACATTACACCAGAGGGAATCGTGCTCATTGGTGTACACTTGAAACAGGCAGATAGCAGGTTTCCAGAAAGGAAACTTTTAGTTTTATGTATCTCAAATGTTTCAAAACTATCTGAAGCAAGATGCAAAAGAGTTACATTGCAGTTAAATGTCAGGTCCTGGATATCATGTGTGAAGTGCACAAAGCAGTTTTTAAGCTAAGCTAAATGCTAAAAAATATAAGCTAAAAGCTATTTGGTAACAGGGAATGTTTTCATGGATCTAATGATCGTTATCAATCAATATTACAAACCGAAGAAGTAAAAATTATTAAACATAGACATGATAGTGAGTTAATAGACTCTTTTTTGTGTTTATTCTTTTCAGTTCGTTCTGTGCTAGCTGGATATATTCAGCTTAACTCATACGTAACTATTTGCTAGTTGATTGAAATGACTGTTGCTCCAATAACATAGCGGGCTGCTTTGACTGCTAGTTGGCCGACATTAAATACAAATACAGGTACACTTCTCATTTGAACACTTCAGTGAACAGTGTGGCCTGTTTTGGCAATTTCTGGCCAAAACCTGACCACTTTTTATGTTGTCAGCCCACAAGTAAGTCATTTGGCAGTTAGAATGTCAACTTTAATTTACATCTTTACTGACTGAACCATATAGGAATCGCAGCATGAACATTCTTCAGTATTTGAATTGGTGCTTAGTGGAGTTCAGTACAGTTTGGGTAATTAGGTCAGTCACGAACCTTCCAGTTTTTGGTTGTGAAAAACTACTTTGTTGTATTAGAACTAAGAATTCATGAGTAATCTTGCAGCTTATGCACCTAACGACTCAGTTAGTAGCATATTACTTGAAATTCTTAAAATTGTTTTAGTGTTGCTTGAGATCAAAGTTCTGGCATTACAGTTCAATCCATGGCATAGAAGTGCTGCTAGATTAGCTTTCTTAGTACAGTCTGGTGGGTTTTGTTGCTCAGTTTGGTCAAGAATCATCTACTTTGACATGAAGGTGGGACCATTGTTTTTGTGGACATGTTGGAGCAGGCGATTTTCAAACAGTTTCAGAACAAATGAAGGTTTTGGGAAACGAAAGTAGATCGTGTCAGCCAGTGTACTAGTAAATGCTTCAGATACAACTTTTAATTAAAACTCTAAGCTCCAAAGGTGTGCAGAGCAGACAAGTGTTTTCTAATCGTGACTACGTAGCATTTAACTTGACCGTGGTTCTTCTTTATCAGCCACCAAATTTGCGACATAGCAAATGTTTATGAAATTAGTGCTGTAAATTAAAAAAAAAAAAAAATTCACAAAATGGCTTACAATCTGTATTTTATTTTTCAAGAAATTGGTTACATATTATTTTATTTTGGATTATCACAAAATTACTTAACAAACCAGTCACTAATTAGAAGTGTTTTGGTCCTGCATTTCAAGGGATTTGGAGGTGTTGCTGCCATACATGCCTGTGCCACCATGTTTTATAGATGATGTATGCCATAGGTCTTCATATCTGGACCTTGAATCTATATTCCAGTTGTTGATTTAGTAATCACTGGTTCTTAATTGATCTGTGGATGTAACTGATTGGCCACCTAATGTCATACCTACCTGTGAGTACAAAATCCCGACATGGAAGCGGATTCAAGGTCCAGATTTGAAGATCGCTGAAGTATGTTTTGGATCATGAGTGGTTTCTTTCCTCCAGACTTTCCTTTTTCCATCACTTATGTGGAGACTAGTTTTCATCCCCTGTGTCTATGAGTCTTTGTAACTTCGCCATTTTGTTCTTGAGGCTTGCACGTGGTTTACATCCTGTGGTAAACCATCTGAGATCGTGCAGTTCTGTTCATCTCTTAATGGTAGTTCTTGACACACCTTTTCCTACATCCTGGATGATATTCTTGATGTGTTCAGCAGTTAAAAAGGGTTTTTTTGTGATCTAAAAGTACTTAGTCATCTGCTACTGTGGTCTGCCAGGTCTTTTGGTTGATAAGCTTCTTAACATTGTACCGAACAGTTGTGTTTGACACACCTAATATTTTGGCTCTGTCCTTGATTGATTTGTCTTGATATTTTGCTTTAATGACATTGGCACATCATGTTCCTGATGTTGAGAGACAGCTGCAACAGGCTCCAAGGGGAGGTTGCAGCAACAGGTCTTAACTAAGAGAGTTTGAACTGTTGAGTCGGTCATAGCAGAGCCCAGTTTTCAGAGAGGACTCTACACCTGTCACACCACTAATTCTGTGAATATACACCGTCAGAAAAAAAAATACTTTTGAAAAAACTGATGTGTTGAGTGCTTTTTTCAGAACCACTCTGTTTTAGACTTAAAGCATCTTAACTTCCTTTTAGTTTCATTCTTTTTTTCCCCTCTGATGTCCCATCCAGCATTTTCAGCTAACCCTTTATGAGAACCCAGTATGTGACTTGTGCCATCTCTCTAGTTGGAAGGCATGAAATGAAGGTGGCGGTTGGTTAGGGAGTGTAACAGGTCATAAAAAGAGGTAACCAGTTGCGCAACACAAATTTTAGATGTTTTTGTTATCAATTCTGGATTTATGCCGAAACAAGGTGTCTCACTTAACACATCTGCTTTTTTCATACTAGCTGTAGTAGATTGTGCAATGTTTAATCTCTTTGTATGCATTAGGGAGAGATTTTTGTTTCCTTCTAGCAGAAAAATGATATTCCTTCTAAGTGAGTGTATTATAATTGTGCTGCAAAGACAAATAGTAAATCTGTGTCAAAGCCAAAGAAATTACTTTTTTTTTTTTTCTTTTCAATTGTGGTGCTTATTTGCCCCAAATGTTTAAAATTCATTAAGGTGTAAGATTTTGTTTCTGTCTTTTGCTCCCCTAATTTGTGTGCAAGTGAGAACTGTTCTCACTTAAGAAAGCAATTACACTCCTTAAAGCCAGTGGCTGAAGTGTTCCTAAAAGTGTTAAAACAGTCTGAAGTAGATTTTTTTTTTTTTATTGAAACCTAAAATATATCGCTTTGTCTTAACAACTGACGTCTGTCCAGCATCATTATTGTGGTCAGTTCAGCCTCTTCCCTACCTCCTCTAGTTCAGCTGTGCTATTGGTGTGCATGAAGTAGATCAGTTCTAGGGTACGAAGCTATTCACAATTTTCCAATCGGTCAACCAGTGCTTTCATCCCTGATGACTATGCCCTCCTCGAACTGCGGTGAACAAATGAGTTTGAAATGAAAAGCAGATTTTAGAAACACAGCCAAAAGTTGTCACTTTCCTTTGTAGTGTTACTTCAGGTTAGCTTATGTTACTGCTAAGCAAATAATAGTGATTCTTCACTTTCCCACATTGGGTTTAAAATTACTCTACTTAAACATAAGATGAGTTTGGATATCTGTATGCTTAGATAATCATGCCCATTCCATTTATCTCTATCTGTTTTCCTTCTGGTAAGTTTTCTTCCTCTTTCTTTTTCTCTGTTTGTGTACTGAGACTGAAACACACTTTCATAAAGTCGTGTGCATTTCTTCAGCATTAATGTAATTGTGTTAAGAAGCTGTGTGGTCACAGTGAAGTGCAGGTATTATTTTGTCTGTTTGTTTTTTTGTAATAGCACCCAGGCTTTTCCCTCTCAAACAGTAAATTTTTTAAGTTCATCTAGAAGGTGGAGTTATCTGAAACTAAGTGTGTCATTACTTAGTAGTTACTCACAGTGGTTTGATGTGAAATGCTTAGTTGTAGAGAACTTACCAGGTCAGAATTGTTCATTGTGTTGGTGATAGGAACTAGATGTTTAAAGAGTTAAATGCTCTAAAAACTCCCACAAGAAATGGTTGTGAATTCACTGATGTCTGAGACATTGTTTTACGATGGTTTTGTCAGAGGATTTTGGCGTGAAGTCTTTTTTATCCATGCAGGCCATTGTAAGTCAAAATTGTCCCCGAAGAAAACATGTCAGATTTACTGCTATTTTACCATCATCAACATTAAATATAAAAACTTAGGAAATATATAGGTTCACTGGTGGTTTTGGATAGTTCATAAATTTTGATATATTTGTGTTGTAGACATGCTGACTCTTGGTTCCTGTCACCACCACTGTAAAGAAATCAGAGTCTGTAAGTTTCTCTACAGTGAACCATTTCACATCAAACCACTCTGAATGACTTACATGGAAGTTTTCTAGGTGTTGAGATAAATCAGTCGATGTCAATTATTCAGGGACGAAAAAGTTGTTGAGTAGGCAAGATCATCTGAGCTCTTTAGCATTGACACCGTTAAAAAGGGGTAAACAACACAGTATTACTTTGAATATTTTCTTTTTTTTGCTCACACCATTTGAGTAATGTAAATACTTGCTGTTCATTGAACCATCTCTTGAGATTCTGAAGCTGATGTGTACCACTCTGTCCAGTAAACTCAAGGCTTTCCTTGACTGTCATTTTATCTTCCATATAATGCTGTGATTGTCATCTGTGCACAGTATTTTTTTATTTCAAAGAAGAGGCTTACAAAAGGAGACTAAACATGTCCAAGAGTTCTTTCAAGGGATGCAATAAATGAACCACTCTTTGATTCCCAAAAGAACCTTTCAGTGAAGGGTACTTTTAAAGAACTATTTTTGTAAATGAGTTGTGAGTGTAAAGAACCTTTCACTTAATTTAAAGTTTCTATACCAATGATTTTTTTTTCATTAGAATCTATGAGGAGTCTCATAGGAATTCCAGCAGTTTTTCTGGTTATCATTCACTGTAATTCACTGGTTGAGATGCGACGCTAGTCAGAGTGGTTTGATGTGAAATAGTTTGTTGTAGAGAAACTTACTGAGTCAGATTTATTTACATTGGTGGTGATAGGAACCAGGAGCTGTAATGTCTATAACAATACCAGTGAACCTACACATGTCTTTTTTAGCTTTCATATGTAATGTTGTTGATGGTAAAATAGTGGAAAATCTGTTTAAAAAAAAATGTTGGGGACTGTTTGACCTTACAGTGCCCTGAATATACCTCTCTACTAGGGGTGGGAATCTCTAGACACCTCACGATTCGATTCGATTACGATCACGATTCAGAGGGCTGCGATGCAATTATAAAACGATTATCGATGCATCTCGATGCATCTTTTTTTTCTATACAGCATTTCTATTTTCTCACTGTGTGAAGACTTGGTACTTTTAAAGCAAAGTATTTATAATGATCCATAATGAATTTACTTCCAATACCTTTTATTAATAAATCAAATGGAAGTGATGTGGCAAGTGAGCTGGAAGGCTCTCATTCACTGCTCGTTTGGAGCCCATGAGACGCTGCCACTCATCTAAAATGCACAGTTACGGTGAAATAAGATCCAGTGGTAATGGGTGTCCACGCAGCACGTTACAGCCGTTTTCTTCAGTGATTTTATAACTTCGGTTTTGGTCTTGTTGTAGAGAAGGGGGTGGGATCGCTGTGTCAGTAAAATATCTTCGAGACGGGGCATGTGAAACATGGCGCAAAAGCCCTGTTTCGCAACAACTGAGAACCGGCATGCAGACTGCAGGTCTCATAGCAACGATGCGTTATTCGCATTCATAAACAGCGCAGCTGGTTTCATGGTACGTTAAATCTACGAGAGACTGTCAAACACTAAAAAGTTGCGAAGCTGAAGTCGCTTCTCTTTTGAATGGTCCCGTTCCACCTTTAATGGTGCAACAGTTACATTCGGCAGAATTTAAGGTGGAACAGGAAAATTCTAACAAGAAGCTGGAGAATGAGCAGCGACTTCAGCCTCGTAAAACAGTCGAACGCTGAGAGACATTTTACAATAAGCTGCTCTACTTTTGAGGAAAGGTTTTCTGGCAGAGATGGGAGGAAAGCGGCTATAGCTGAGCTAAAGCTTAAAGTAGAGCGAAGTAAATCTGCGTTTTCATTTATATTGTTTAGCCTATGCTAGGACATTTTCACATACTGAGACAGAATGGACATAAATGTTGTGGCTCCCAAGGTGGTTTGACTTTGTTGAAAGGACAAAATGGCTCTTCTTAACATTTGGGTTGTGACTCCTGACCTAACCTGGCTTTTAATGCAGAGGGAGCCGGTTGGATTTCTCGCTCATCCAGTTGTGTTTTTGTTATGTGCCGCCACAGACTGTCCGGGCGCTGCACTTCCGTACTTCCAAGTTCCGCCCTTTGTGTTCCGTCAACATTACGTTATAAATTAAATATTTAGAAAATCGATTTTTGACACATCGATTCAGAATCGTTCACGTCCTCATCGTGATGCGTCTAAGAATCAATCCCTCACCCTTACTCTCTACTGTGAATACCTTTTTGAAAATCTTATGGGCTTTTCTTAAATCTGTTATAAAACAAGGAGGCAACATATTCATAACCATTTCATGTCATAACTTTCTTTGAGGGAGCTTTTAGGAGCAATAAACGCATCAGACATCAGGGGCTGTATTACAGAAACTTATCTTTTTGTCTTAAGATCTGACAGCTCAAGATAAGATTTTTCACAAATTCATATTAGAGAAGCAAATCTTATTTTAATTTAGGAATCTTACAGCATCGTGTCTTTTATGTCAAGTTAGGAAATCTTACACGATCGAAGTTGACGAACTGTCATGTCTGTTACCTGATAACCGACCGTGCTCAGCAGACACATAAACACACAATCAAAATAATCTAGTTAGCCAGAGAGCTAATGTTAGACTAGCTAATGTTAACTAAATTGCGATTACTTGAAGTTAAGAATATTGAGCAGCGCTTTGTGCTGTTTATCAGAGTGTTGCTGCTCTGTTTTAGATTGTTTCCCAAATGCTTTAGGTGACCATGCTAACATTATTCCTCCTAATAAACAGACACATGTTTAGCTCTGTCTCCTCATTATTCACCACCTAACTAAAGTTGTCATAGTGACTAAGAAGAAAAGGTAAGATTTCAGACTTAAGAAGTTTCTGTAATATGGTGGATCTGTCACCACCACTGTGAACAATTCTGACTCTCTCTAAATTTCTCCTGGATGAAACATTTCACACCAAACCATTCTAAATAACTTTGTTTATATCTCACTGATTGAATTATGCAGAATATTAATATTACAATAATTATACAAATATGATAGTAATAATATATAAATTGTTTAAATATTGACCAGAAATATCATGTTTTACTTCCTCCTCTCACCACCCTACCTATAATGAATAGAAAACGCTCAGCTAGCTCATAATACAAAATTTTGGTATTGTGACAAGCCTACCAGGTTGATCACAGTATCTAACCGAATGTTGCTTTGTTTCTGTGTCAGAGAACACAGTGTTTGATTTGCTAATAGGTTCATGCTGTGTCTCTTCTCTTTGCAGAGATGTGAGCTGTGCCCCCACAAAGACGGAGCTCTGAAAAGGACAGATAATGGAGGTAAATAGTCATCTTTTTATACTTGAGAGTTTTGTATCATATAATTTTGGGAAAGGTTCTTATGCAAGTATGTGCAGTTTTGGTAGCAGTTTTATGTCTGTATTGCTAACTGTTTGGTTGAATCTGCTGCGGTGGATTTTATTCATAATACATTGTTGCTGTTGTTATTGTTGTGTCCCTTGTCTTATTTTTTACTCTGAAAGAGTCTAAGAGTAAAGACTTAAAGACAAGGATGAAGAGTTGTCGTCTGTATTAAACTAATTCACAGTACTTTGGCAACAAAAAATATCCAGCCGTCAGTGGTCCTGTCTGATTATGAAAGAGCCCCTGACTGATTATGAAAAAGCGAGAGGTCAGCGGAACTGATGATAAAATCAAACCAACTAAGAAGACTGTGCCAGGAAAAGAGAGAGCATTTAGTGAAGAAATTAGTGGAAAGTAAAAAGGGTTAGTGATCGGAACTTACATCTCAAAGCGTATACCCATATTTAATTTTCAGCCAGTGTTACAGCCAGTTGAATGCAATAGCCATTAATAAGCTCATTGTCATTTCTTTTTCTAATACTTGGTTACATGTCCCTTTTCCTTAACAGCCTGATGGATGAATTCATTTTTATGCATGTTTTGCAGTATAGTGTTATTGTGTGTATTTTAAGTGTTAGTTCATTTTTATTTTATTAGATTTCTCAATTTGTCACAAATAATCATTGGATAATTTGGGGATAATAAGTCTGTTTTCATTTTTTGAGCGATATTTGAAACTCTAATTTCTCAATAAAACTCAGTGGATTACTCAATAGTGGCTGTCCTAGCACAAATACTAGCACCAGTGCTTTAGAATGTTTAAATATGCAGAGATTTCTGGTCTTTCTAAAACTTGTCTCCTACTTAAAAGTTTTTCAGTGGTGATATATTGTAAAATTAAGTAGTTAAGGCCAGTTTTGCTGCATGTCTTTATTAGTTAAACCAACAGAAATGCCTCCATGATTTGATTAACGTTATTACCTTGGACTTGTAGGTAGGTACGGACTGTGTGGTTAGTTGCTGCTTATTTTGTGCGTAAAAATGGGAGGGGTGAATGTGTGTTTATCTCCCCTCGTTTTTATGATGGGGCGGTCTTGCTGGGGTCATCGCGGGGCTGCGAGGGGACTTCTCTTCTTCATGGCCTGGGTTCACGGCAGGGGCAAGCCCGAGACTGTAAACATTGCCTGGGACATGCAGCTGCATGACCATGCCCCCTTTGTAGTGCGGAAAGCTGTTAAACGGCCATGAGGGAAACATCAGTTCACTTCGGGGCTTATGTTTTGGTCATTTCACACTATGTAATCTTTTGTTTTTTTCCAAGTTTCAAAGTGTTTTGGGAGGGATTGCACTGGAAATGTAGAGTGCTATTAAAAAATAAGCACAGGTGGTACACAAAAATAGGTTTATTTTTGCTTGGTGAGTAAACTGGCAAACTTCAAACTTAATCAGTGTGTTCCTTCATGCATTTGAAGTAGGCTAGTATACTTTCAGTTAAAACGTCAAGTAGTTTATGTTTTACAGTGTAGGCGGTTTGATGGAAATATTAGGCTACTCTTTTTAATGAGCCTTTATCTCAAGATTTCTCTTTATTCGATCTATTTATTAGTGATGCACTGAAATGAAAACCCTTTTCATGTCGGCATGTCATTTTTTCAGGCAGGATCAAACCTGTAGTGGAGAAGTTTTTGGGTGTTGTATCTCCACTTAGTCTTGACATGAACAGAGATTATAAATCACTTGTCAAATGTTTCTTACATAAGCTGTGAAATAGGTACACGTGGCTGGATTTTTTTTGGCTGTTGAGTGGTGCAGAAGAGTGTAAGAAACTAACAGCATTTTTTAAATTTCTTTTTTTTTTAGCATTAAAATGATTTGTTTTCAGTTTTGACGGATTGTAGAACTATTTAATCATTTTTGTGGGATCAAAAGTTGGCAAAAATTTAGACTGATACCTGTTTTATTTGTTTGCTTGGGGGCATTGCAGCCAAATCAAGCTATTTATTTATTTTTGTGTTGTGTTATGATTGCACATCAGCTTTAACCACCTGGTCCCTGTGGGGTAGTTTTAGTGTTAAGAAATGCAAATGCAGTTAATCCTAAATGATAACGTTGGCTGTTTGGCAAATGCCTAGCTTAGTGATTCATGTTGAGTAGTAAATGTGAGTATAAGTAAACTCCATTTGTTTATTCTTGGAGGTCATGTTGCCTTAAAATTGACATTTTCATTGCGTAGATTTACTGTTTTTCCACTTACCAAACATTTATCATGTGCCTTCAAGCCTGTAAAATAAATGTGGCTCTTGTGGATTCAGTCAGAATTATCTTTTTTGACGCATTGTTGTTGCATATATTGTGCCAGCCTGGTGTGTGAAGGGGTGAGAAGTTCTTTGGGGTGTGCTTGGATTTTTATTGGCCTGTTTTATGGGCTTCTGCAGAATTCTTGGAGGGACTTCAAAACAACAACACCCACCTCCCTGTCCCTGGCACACTGAGGTCAAAGACAGTTCATGGGTTCACTTTTAAGTTTAGGGCTGTTGCTGTTTCCTCTGACTGGACAAACAGCACTCCAGTCATTTTCCTATTTCTTGATTAATTTGATTTGTAATCCGCGTCCTTCTCATACAAACATTGAGGACTAATTTTATGTAGTTAATTTTTTTTTAGTCTTGTGGTTTTGTGGTGAATTGGAGGCCTGTGAGAAAAGGGAGGAGTATAGGCTGGTGCAAGCCTGTAATTTTAATATTTGTGCAGCATGTTTGTGACACCCTGTGGCACTACCCTGGTCTAGATGGAACACCCAGCAGGCGTGCATTTTAAGCTAGTTTAAATTTTTGTTTTTTGAAATAGTGTTATTTGCAATAAACATACATGCTTAAAAATAAAACGTAGTTTGGAGTGATGCCATAGACATAAAAAGAACCTTTTAATAGGTTTAATGGCTCTGTTAAAAAAAAACAACAAACAAAAAAACATAGAAACCATTTCTTTAAAAAGGTTTTCTTTTTGGCAGTACACTAAAAAAATCTTTATTTCAAGTCTATATTAAAACATAAGGGACAAATCTATAAATAATAACCTAAAAATAATTTTCCCTAGTGAGTCATCCCTGATATTGCCATTTATTCCCAACCTAGACTTCCCTGTCCAAGGAACTTGCAGACAGAGTTTAAGCATGGTATTTGTTTTAAATGAATGTAAATTTTCAGGTGAACATGGTTGTTATGGTGTCTCCATAAGCACAATGAAAAAATTACGTTCAGATTTTGCTTTTTGAGTGGGTGGAAGTTTTACATCATCTTCGTGGAGTACCGTACACACTTGGCAACAAGATATGGTGTCAAAGTGCTATGCAAAAGTTTGGGTGCCACTTAGGGGTGGACGATATAGCAAAAGTACCCTAACACGAATAATTTTTACATTACATATCACAGTATTTTGATGTATTCACAATGCACTATGCCAGGGGTCGGCAACATACTGCGCCGTGGCACATGCGGCTCTTTTACTGCCCCCTTGCGGCTTGACTGTAGAAACAGATTTTTAGATAAAAAAATAAAATAATCCTTCTTTGCAGTTACATAATGCTTTGCTGAGCGTCCCAACACACAGTTCTAACACAGTTTCAACAATAAATTGTCCTTAAACGCTGTAATTAATATATAAATGCTAATTTACCAACCTTTAACCCTAAAGATGATCACACAGACTTCTGGTTACATAGCAACGCAGACAACAGTCACACCTAGCTTCTAGCTAAAGAAATGGCAAAGAAGAAAAAGATTCAGGACAAACATATAGAATTTACAAATGAATGAACAGACTCATCTGCATTTTTATGCACGGCAGCTGGTTTCCTGATATGTTTAATCTGCAACGAGAAACTGTCAACCACCAAAAAGTTGAAAGTTTAGAGACATTTTACAAGAAACCTTTGGCTTTTGTTGAAAAGAATCCTGCTGGAGATGTGAGTAAAGCAGCTATAACTGAGATCATGTTTAAAGGAGCGCAAAGTTAGTCTGCGTTTTTGTTTTTATTGTTATTTTGAGCCTGAACTAGGACATTAGCACATATTGAGAAGTTTAAAGCCAAGATGTTAAAACGTTACACCAATAAAATGGACATATAATATTGTGGCTCCCAAGGTGGTTTGATTTTTGTTGAAACAGGGCAAATGGCTCTTCTTAACATTTGGGTTGCTGATCCCTGCACTATGCTCGGAAAACCATATTGTGTATCCTGATAACAAAATGTATGATAATGGTAAAATGTTGTCATATTGCCCACCTCAAGTGCAAATTCCATGTTTTGTTGATTTTGGAGTGAAAATAAGTTAACACATCCACCACAGATCACATACTTCTGCACATTTTAATGCACAGTTACTGCTTATTGAGAAGGTTGAGGAAATAAAGCAGAAAATGCAGCTTGTAGGGGATGTGTAATTTGATCGAAGGTGTTCAGACTGTTGTATATGACTGTATGTATGCTTGCGATGCATCTGAATAATGTGGATGTCAGTTTAATTAGTTGAGTTTAATTTTTACTCCTTGCTGTAGCTAGATTTTAGAGCTTGAACTGAAACTCTTTTTGAATTGTGGTCCTTTTTCACTCCATTCAGTCTTTGTAATTATGGAGTGGAAAAAATACTTTTATACCCCCAAGTATAGTATAGTGGGTGACACCTCTGGCATTCAACACTGCAGACTGGACTTGGATCCCCTGCTGGGTCAAGCACCCCATACTATACCAATAACAGTCCCTTGGGCAAGACTCTTAACACTCTTGTCTCATACTTCTGTAAAACGATCAAATTGTACGTTGCCCTGAATAAGAGTGTCTGCCAAATGTAAATATAAATCGCTATTTCTTTAAATGTTTGTACTTGTTGTGCCATAAAGACCTAATCTTTTATTTAACCTATTGATATCTGTATCTGTACCTGTACACAGATCTGTTACATTTTCAAATTTGATTAGATCATTTGGCTAAAAAGAGATTTTTCATCACTAATAATATTAAATGCTATTTGATATTGTAAATAAAAGTGTAAATAATTACCAGCATTTTTCTTTCTCATACAAAATTTAGTTAGACATTAATGAATTTTCTTTCTTTTGCTTTGTTAGTGGTCTCCGAATGCAGTGCTTTCGCAAATAAGCTGCCTATGTTTTTACTTTGCCTGGTAAGCTTGCTGGTTAAATCTGAAGGCATGGAATTTAACTGCGAGTCGTTAGTTAAATGTCAGTGAAGTGATTCAGAAAAGCACAGTCCTCTCACCAGTGTACTCATTGATAGAACTGAAAAATGCGGTATTGTGATGGAATAGAGTGGACTGCTTGGTTTCTTTGAGTGACTTTGCGCCATGACAGACTTATTTAACTTCCTGTTGTGAGAATCCATTTGACTGTGTTCACTTGGTTAATAATATAAGGAGGTATTAATAGAATAGGTTGAAGATTTGGAAGAAGACAAACAAACTATGCATTATTGCACTGTTATATATGATGGCTAGAAAAAGTGAAAATCAGAAGCATTAATAATGTGCCATGCAGTTATTTTTTTGTATGCTTCACTTTAATTTAGGTTGAAAATTGTCTGTGAAAGAATTATGTTGGCTGAATAAATGAATCAATACTGCTTGTTATAAAGTGAATTGTGATTCTCCTTTTGGTGATTGCTTTGGCTGAAAGGTTCAGCACCTTCTACTGCTAAATGATGCTGAAACCCTAGGGTGGGTGGTAAGGGGTAATATTGTTTTGATGAAATGTTTGAAAATGTCATTTTGTGAAGGCCTGCTACAAGTAACACAGCCAGTTTAATTCTAAGAGATAAAGGATAGATTGTAGAAATGGTCATGCCTAAATGAACGTTGACTTTTGTTCAAAAACCCATGCCGATGCCATAAGTGGACCTCAGAGCGAAAAAATCATAAAGTCCAGATGTTTGGACAAAGCTTGTAGCCTTATTCTTGTTGTTTGTATTTATTTATTTATTTATTTTTTTAGGTTGGGCTCATGTGGTTTGTGCCCTTTACATCCCAGAGGTGGAGTTCGCCAATGTTGCCACCATGGAGCCCATCGTATTACAGTCTGTCCCTCATGAACGTTACAATAAGGTAAGTTTTCAGTCGTGTTATATCCTCACTAATCCCAGTTAAGGATGAAATTTCTGTGAGTGTTTTAATGAATCAAGGCATTCACGTAATCGAGCAAGCATACGTTAAATTGGTCAAAATAATGCAGACTGATCTTTTTTTTTTTTCTTTTCTTTCTTTCTTTCTATTTCTTTTTTCCTTTTCTTTCTTTCTTTCTTTCTTTCTTTCTTTCTTTTTCTTTCCTTTTTCTTTTCTTTCTTTTTCTTTCCTTTTTTTTTCTTTCTTTCTTTCTTTCTTTCTTTCTTTCTTTCTTTCTTTTTCTTTTTTCTTTTCTTTTCTTTCTTTCTTTCTTTCTGCCTTTCTTACCTGCCTGCCTTCCTTTCCATGTCACATTATTGATTCAACAATGTTTTAATTGATAGCAAGATTAATTTGTAGGGCTGCCCAAATTATTTGAATTCTTAGAAATTTATTTGTTACATTTGTATTTGTTTTGGGGGATGGGGTGTAGAAAGTGACAGATGCTTTTTTTCTCTTTTAATGTCTCGTCTTGCATTATTTCAAGAAAAAATAAATACATTTTAAAAAGTAGTTCACTTACATGCTCACCAAATGCCTTCTCTTCATAAATAGGCTACTCTCGTAAACTTAAAGAGCTCAGTGTAGTTCAGTTTATGTTGGCTGCCTAGATGCGTTGTCAACCAAAGAAGGTATGCATTAGTCTGCTTTAACTGTGGTTCATTACTTACCAGGAACACAAGAATGTCAGAGATTTTCTGCTATGTGATATTTCTTTAAATTTTGTCTTTGTTTTCTTTGGTTCATAAGAGTTGCTTTTGCCTGAGCAGTTGCTTATTGCTGGTACTTTGCATAAAGTTGAAGCCAGCCCAACTTTTCTTGCTGCACCACGAGCCATTTTCGCGCTGCTTGCTATCCCACAATCCCCTGTGCATGTTTTGCTATACGTTGTTGAAAATCAGTGGGCTTGACTTTTCGGATGATGAATTTGCGTGCGGTGGATACATACTGTTATCTCTATTGTTTACTTGTCTTTTTCTTAGATTTTTCCCCTTTTTCCATTAGTGCCACCTAGCAGTGAGCTCCCACACCATCTGTCACTGACCCCTCTAAAGCATAAATGGGTGCAATGTGTTTATTTGGCTGTTGAGATGTGGAATAGAAATCTTTTAGATACCAGCATCATTTTCTTAATACTGTGGTATATCTTATTACTGTTTTACCCACAAAAATTGTACCTTAAACTATGTTAAATTGGGTAAGGCCTTTACCTAATAAATGGTACATGGTAAAGTTAACAAATAAGTACAGTGATCCTTACTGGTATCTGGCTCAACTCCATCACGTAACAGCTTCAGATAGGAATATCAGCTTTTTTCCTCCTTTTCTTTTCTAATTAAACTATTTTGCACCAGTTTTAAACACTACAGCAGAAACAGCAGATCTGTTTATATCAACAAAGTTTTTACAGCTGTATCAGAGAAGATTCTCCTTTGCATACTGTTAGTACAGAGCAGGAGCTGCTCTGAAACTACAGCACCAACAAGATCTTTAGTAACTTTAGTAAGTTATTATTTCAAATATAGTTTAGAAAGCTACAGTGGGAGTGATTTGACTGAATCTCTGTGGAGTCAACGACAGGTCAGGAAATACTTGTATTTTGACAAATATGCGTCTAGTCAACATGCATCTTTTGACGAAAAGGTCATCTAGTGCAGCCAGTGTGAACTGAGTCATGTTTTAAAATGGAAACTGTTACATCAGATTTGACGACTAAAAGATTGCCTAAAGGGTTTTAAGAGTGTTTGAGGATAAATAAAAATTATCTTAGTCTTTGAATGACTCATTAGTATTTATGAATAAGTACTCAAAACCTGTAAAGTGGTTGGGGCGTAATCGCATATGCAATATGTATCAATAAATTGCAGTTCTCTTTTTCATGCAGCCTTAAATTGTTTAATCAGTTTTATAAATAATCATTTTTATCACTTTTCTTTTAATAAACATGTTTTCCATGTATGTTAAAGGTTTTAATCACTTATTCATTGTTTTTGTTTTCTGTCTGAAATAATTGTACTGAGTGCCAAGTTTTTGTGCGTTTGTGGAAGCCCACTGAAAGTGAAGCTGTGCAACCTTTGCTGCGGTTAAGGTAGAACGTCATGCTTAAATAATTTCACTGCGTTTGAAAAGCACTATCGTTTATTTTTTTTTCCTGTGGATTCCACTCAGTGTGATTTGATGAAGTAAATATAAATCATTTGGCGGTATGTGACACTGTGTCTGATTTGGAAGGCAACCAAGGGGGCCAGGTTTAATCTCATGCTTGAAATAGTTGAGTATTCAATCTGTGATGAAATGGTTTCACCCCCCGTCTGTAATTGAGTCTTCATTGTGAGCCAATTTAAAGCAACATGGTTATTACGCGCCTGATAATCAGGGTACTAGAAAGACTGTTTTTACAGAGACTTGTTAAATTGGCAGTGTCTTCAGATTAAACGAGCCGCGCCTCGTAATGTATATATCATATCAGCGACTTTTCACGGCAGTGAAATTTCAGTATAAAGGTAGTGTCGTCTGTTGCTTAGAGTATTTGTTTTTTTTGTCTCGTAGACATGCTACATCTGTGAGGAGCAAGGCCGGGAGAGCAAAGCGGCCACTGGAGCCTGCATGGCCTGCAACAAACATGGCTGCCGCCAAGCTTTCCATGTCACATGGTGGGTTAGAGAACGTAGATCATTTCACAGAAATTAATTTACTTTAATATTTGCACACATCTGTATGTATATACAGTCATACGCAGACATTTTCATGCCCCTGGTCAAATGACATTTTGCTGATTTTCTAAGTGAAAATAAGTTAATGCGCTCTTTACAGAGAACACAGTTCTGCACATTTTTTGCTGAATTTAACATAGTAAAATAAATTGTGACCTGTCCAGAGGTTGGGGCACAAAATTTATGTTTAATTTTTTTTTTTACAAAATGTGAAATTCAGCAAATGAATAGAAATTATGTACTAAATATAAAGAAAATGCCATGTTTAAGTTTGTTCTCTGAAGAGAATGTGTTAACTTTTTTCCCCCATTTAGAAAATTGACAAAACATAGTTTGCCCAGGGGTATTCAAAGTTTGCGTGCAAGTGTGTGTGTGTGTGTGTGTAAAAATACGTGCATGTCACATATATCACATATATATGTACATATTACTGTCTGAACAAAACCTTGTATGTCCATTTTTACTGGGTTTTTTTTTCGTAATTTGAAGGTACCAGCTGCCATTTTCATATATATGCACACACATGCGTGCACACACACACACACACACACATACATACATACATACATACCTACATATACATATAATTGTACACTGAAATTATTTATATTTCTACCGTGGAAATTTTTTATAATAATTATTATAAAAAAAATAATTATATAATTTTAAATCCCCAGCTGCCCTTTGCATTGTTTGAAAATTTCATGATGTTTGGAACAATATAAATGGTCTAAAATTACTTGGAATAAAATCTTTTTATATTAAATTAAAATTTTCTCTTGTAAATTTAACATTTTTTAGATGTAAAGTTTTGTATATGTGTATATATCTTCACTGGATATAGAATCTGTTTTTTCTTTTTGATTAGGGCAGTTTTGTGCATTTTTTGTGCACAGTCAAATTGTAATATTAAAAATTAACTAATTACATTTTTTTTATTTGCAAAGTAGACTTGCAACTGAATCCACAAACCGTGTGTAGAGTTAATTTCCTTCTCAAATAAAAGTTCTCTTTTCTTGTTATCTACAGTGCTCAGTTTGCTGGGTTGCTGTGTGAAGAACAAGGCTCAGATGCTGATAATGTGAAATACTGTGGATACTGCAAGTACCATTACAGCAAACTGGTAAGCTTCTGCTTTTCGGAAACACTGCTTAAGCTTAATATTATTTGATTTTTTTGTTTTTTTAACTGTTAAGAGGATGAAAATTCCATTTCAAGAATTTCCAGAGTGGCCTGAGGGTGTAAGTGCCTATGATCTCATTAGATGTTGGGTTTATATATATATATATATATATATATATATATATATATATATATATATATATATATATATATATATATATATATATATATATATATTATATTATATTTTGGAAACTGGTTTGGTTTGTGACCTATTTTTATTCACTCACATTATTATGAACTCCTCATGGGGATTACAGTAGGTAAACATCTATCTTAAATGACTTTTTTCCTGGTTTGTTTAATCAAGTACGATTTACAGTTCTTACATTACATTATATTGAACTGAGGACTGTGATTAAAGTCAGCACTGTGACAGATACCGTCCCCTCCCCAAACGTTATTTTTCAGGATGATGCTGGTTCCGTTACAGCACCAAGCCAGTGTGCCTTACATTAAACTTGCTGTTGTCTTCACTCAGGTAGCATAAGGTGGCAGTAACCTGTACAAACACAATGTATGTTGGGCTGTTTACAGACGTTTGGCCTGGAAAACCACTCATTTCTTAAATGACCTGCACTCTCCCTTCAGTTACAGCTGCTGAAAGCTGAGTTGTGGCGTAATCAACCACACACGCACATTACCCCATCTCTGTCCCTCACAACCCCTGTAACCCCTTAATCTCACTGACAATCAGCAGCAACTCTTTGAACCTTTGTGTGGAACTCTCCTCTCTCCGTCATTACCCCTTCACCCTCCCCTAATCCCTCAGTCCGAGAGAGATCTGGAGTTCCAGGAGGTTGCAGGGAAGGTCCAGTGACCGGCAGTGTTCCTTCCTTCCTCTCTCCTGTGTCGGTGTGTTCGTACATTTTCTGGACTTTGTAAGAAAAACAGACAAACAGGGTTAAAATGGTCCTGATCTTGTAAAGTGCTTTTTTACAATGTTTCATTTTTTAAAACTGAAATAGTAAAACCAGTTCTTGTTGATTCCTGAGTTTAAATTTGTGGTTACAAATTTCTTATTACATACAGATATTTCTATTTGTGTTCGATATATATATATATGTATAAATATATATATATGTAATGTGTATGTATGTGTGTGTGTGTGTGTGTATGTGTGTATATATATATATATATATATATATATATATATATATACTCATAATATACATATATATAATAATACACACACACACATATATATTATACATTATATATATTAAAACATATACATACTTATTAAAACACGTCCTCAAATTGTATTTAAACAAGTATGTGTGTTATGGGTGTGTGTCGACCCCTGAGCTGCAGTGGGTTTTAGAGCTGCAGCCCCCCACTGCTTCACAGATCTGTGCTGTGTGTGTGTGTGTGTGTGTGTGTGTGTGTGTGTGTGTGTGTGTGTGTGTCCATCCTTCCCAACAAAGGCCTCTCTCAGACTGCAGTCCTCCACAGGTCCTGAGAGAGAGGCTGGAGGCGGAGCTAAAGGCCTAGTGAAGGATTTGAGTGGAGATGGAGGGGTAGCACTTTTTTGTTGTTGTTTTTGTGTATTTAGATCTTTCCATGCAGTCAAAACAAATTGTTTGTGGCAAATAGTCTCCTTTCCACTTTTTCATTGTATTTCAGTATATTCCTGAAACTTAGGGCTGAAAGATGATGAAATTTAGAGGGTTGAAAGTTTAGTTAGAAATCAAATGTTGATCACAGTGAGCATTCAATTTTTGAAAAAGGGGACGAGACCATTATTATTTTTACCTTAATACTTTTTCCTCCCCTGAAATGAAACCATTATAGTTTTTCAACCTGTAATTAATGTTTCTATAATGTTACTTTTAGCCTACTGCACTGTTACTGTTAAATACCGTTTCTCCGAATGGAATTGTTCAGTGTTTTTGAAACAAAGGTAGAAAACATCACAAATGGAACCAAAAGGGAACTGAAAGGGAAAAGGGAGATAGATACTTGTCGAGTATTTACACCTCTTGTATAAGTGGTACATCAGTGTAGATGTATAAAGGCTTTTTATCAATGTTTTGTGCTGTTATAGTATCTGTAAAAACAAATGAAAAGCACTGTGAGTAGACCGAGCATGGCGTGACATTTCTACAGATGTACCTCGTCTCTGTGTCATTTTAATGGATTGTCTCACATTAATAGATCTATAGTTCTCTACTAACCCCTGACTTCTCCATGTAGGCCTTTGTTTCAGTGGGCTGCTGCTACACAAAGACTATTTTGTATGAAATAAGCTTTTTTTGTACATCTGCTGTTTATGAAGGAAGTTACATGTTTTGTTCACTCTGCATGCATTTCACACGCGCACATTTTCATCTTCGACTATTCTGTGGGAGAACATGGTAGAGCTGTCATGATTAATCAGCTGATCTCGATATTAGAAATAATTCATTAAAATGTGCCTTCTTGATTAATCAGCAGTGATTAATTGGCAGTTTGCATGAGTTTAAGTCTTCTGCTTTCTCTTGCAATCCCAATTTGCAGGCGTTTTTTGACAAAGCGTTTTTTTCCCTTTTTATTTTTTTTAAATAAAGTCTTTTTACAGTTTACAGTACACTTTTAGTTTTTTTCCACTAAATTGTTCTGAAATCTATGAAACGCTCTGCATGGTTTGTTTAGTTAAACTTGATTATCAAAATCGGTAGAGCGCTTGGTTTCTAGTATTGTCAGTCATGTCGACTTGTTAGCTATAATGTCAGTTCTGTAGGTTCTTATGAGGTGTCCAAAAAATTCTATTTTCAGTTTTTTACTGAATGAATTTTATAGTATTTGAATACTCTAATACAATTAGGTGGTACCACCACGTCTACTCTGTGCACATTTTTGCACTTGTTGAAATATGCGACCTAATTCCGTTGTCTGTATATTTCAGGACAATGTCTAGTGTTTTTAAAGGTGCTTCTTCATAAGTTTTGACCCCTGACATACCACCATTTACTGTTTCACTAATGTTCTAAGTATTTTAACATGACATGTAGGATAGCAACTTCTTATTCTTACAGTTTTGCATTTTGTATCGATTATAGTAATACAAATTAGGGATGGGTCAATATGGAAACTGTGGGACAATATCTGATATTTTTGATGTATACATATGCAGATGCTGATGCCCACACACAAATGTTTTAGACTGTAAAACATCTACCTGGATTAGGATTACAGAGCAATCGAACAATTATTTTTGTAGAGTTACAAATGCTGTAAATGAATAAAATACAGATATTTTAGTGTGGTAACCAAATGTCGCCTTAACATTCTACTCTATGCTTTAAATGAGCAGTAAATAAGGGCTCTGGTATCGGTTTGAAGTATCAGTTATGTCCAAACATCTGTTGGATGGAAATATTTTTTGAAGCACAGATCTGCTGATAGCGATATGATTCCGATATCATTGTGCATCCCTAATGGAGATGTCATATTTTAGCAGAAAGTCTTATGCTTCAGTGGTCTGGTGAGTTGTGCCAATAGTTGACATTCAAACAGTTTGCAGACATTGCTTCAGTTGTCATATTCTTGCATTCACTGTTTTCTGACAGTTTGGCAGTCAAGTGTGTGTAGATAAATACAGCTAGAAGAAATCTGCTGTGGCATTGATTCATGGTTTGTGCAAGCTTTGGCAGCCAAGAGGTTTGATTATATGCGAATATGCAAATTACCGCATCCTACTGCACATTCAAGTAGCACTTTCGGCACCCAGAGTAGATGTATATTTATTTTTTTCTTTAATTCGCCTTGACAGCTGCAGTACATACAAGCATTAATTCACTGCTGAATGTGAAAATAGGAGAAGAAAAACTTTAATGTAAATAAATCAGGGAAAATATTAGAAATCTGATCTATTAATATTTAAATTTGCTTGACAAGTAGTTGCGTTGTCTGTGTTTGGTGGTTTTGACGATGTTTGATTTCAAAACATAGCAGTTATTTACCTTTTTTGATTGTCTTTTTTTATTAGTTTGTCACAGTAAGGCCTTTTTTCTTGCTAGACAGCAGAAAAGACACGTATTTTATATAGTAACTCGAAGTTCCTCTTTCACCTTTTAGAGAAGGAGCAAAGGCCGTGGTAGTAGGGCTCAAAGCTTAAGTGATTCTTCCTCTCACTCTTTGGATAAACACCATGACAAGGAGAAGAAGGTAAGGCAGCTTCCACATCTACCTTCCTTCGTGCCATGTGTGAGTGATATGCCCTTTCTTTGCACGTTCAGCCTATGAGGTGGACAGTAATTAACTCAAAATATGCATTGTCGTGATTTAGTTTTATGTAAATTGAGCAAACCTCGGTCATTTTGTTCTTAGAACATTGCTCTCGCTTTTCAGCTAAGCTAAGAAGAATAGAATTTCTCATGCGAAGTGATTAGTGCTTTGGCAATGCAAGGAATGGTCATTATAAAGAATGCTTTATTCGCGGAAAATAATCAGTCGTGCTCATTAGCTATGTCGAATTTGTTTAATCAGTATTTACAGGTAGTGTAATCATTAGTTCTGGCAATTTTTAACCCTGCCATACAGAATGGAACATTATCAACCGCATTTCACCTTCTGACTTCCGACCTAATTAGATTAAGCATCGGTAACATCATTTATTAATACCTATTTGTTTAATACTAATGCATGCAAATTGCCTTTTCCCCACTTACATATAAAAATTAGAATACAGCTATAACATCAGTCCTCATAGTGTGAAATGTGTGGAAGAGCATATCATGTCTATCCAACGTCATACATCTCTGATCATACTCTGCCTGTCCCTAGCATCTATCACTGGCCTCATATATTAAACCAAGTAAAGAAGTCATTTTATTTTTTAAGATTATATAGCTGAATGATTGAACATACCATTATGTCACAACCAAAACAGTCATAACACTACCGGAACTTTATTAAATGATTCTGTAATGACTGTTTTGGTAGTGACAATTTTAGCTAATTTTGAACGTAACTTTAAGGCACTAGCCAGTACTTGACTAGCAAACACAGCCTTGAACTCCTTTACGAACATGAAATCTTAATATTTTTTATAAAAACACAAATGTTTGCTTAATTTTAGAAAATGTGTATTTCAGTAGTGACTTTTCTTAATGTTGCATCCTGATTTTCTAATTTTGGGACACACGTCAAAACAATGGGATTTGACTGCTCACCATGTGGCCATGACAGGGATGCAGTCTCTCTTTCTGCTCTAAAACGCAGGGGTGTAGCAAGGACAAGGTTCCGTCTATGGACGAAAACTTTTTTTGATTCGGTACTGACATGAAAACATGGGACGGCATCTTTTGACTGCATTTTGTTAATTAAAAATTAAATCTATGATAAGTCTTTCCACTTCTTATTAAAAGAAATCAAAAAGAAGATCTGTTTAAAAAAAGAAGTAAGTACTATTTTCATAAGTTAGGGTTTGGGACAGACACCTCCCAATACAAAGTACCCTATAAATGATATTTGTATATGTTTAGCTTATTACCATCTCAATGCCTTGGATTTAAATAGACCATAACAATCCTTGTGAATATCTATGATCTGATTACTTAATTGTTTTTTTTTTGTTTTTTTTTAAAGATTTTTTTTCCCACTCTAAGACTGCAGTTTGAGTTAATTCAGTAGAATGGTCTTGCGTATAGTATGCAAAAGTTTGAAAAAGTTGTCAAATGGTGTTAATTTTCTAAGTGAAAATAAGTTAACACATCCTCTACATTTAATTAACACACACATATACACACGCATATATATGCATATATATGTATATGTGTGTGTGTGTGGTGCACTAAAATTTGAAGTAAAATGTCATGTTTTACATTTGTTCGCTGTAGAGGATGTGCTAACTTATTTTCACTTACAAAATCAATAAATTACCTGGAAAGAAAGTGGAATTCCATTGTTCTTTAAATGCATCTTTAGAAGAGAGAGTTTGAGTCAGTGTGAGGCTTTGGCACCCATGGCCTGAAGATAAACTTCTTATCATCACTTCCAGTCTGGCTTTAGCTTTTTAACAAATAGCACATGTAAACACAACATTCTTGCATGTTTCTAGTTTTGGTGGCTTACAACGAGATGCAGTAATACAGTATTACAGTTGTGTACAAAAGTTTGTATGCCCCTGGTCACATGACAGGTTGATTTTCATAGTGAAGATAACACATGCTTTACAGAGAACAGTTCTTCATAGTAACTGTTAACTATATGGTGGGGGGGGACATAATGTGGCGTGTGGAAACGTTATAGCACATTTTATATTGTATGTTTTAGAAAACAGGTAAAAAAAAAAGCTCTTAAATTGGCAGGAAAAATACCATATTTAAGTTTGCTCTTTGTAAAGGATATTTGAACTTTTTTAACTTAGAAAATCAACAAAACATCTAAAATGAAAAAGGATGCTCAAACTTTTGCATGTGTGTAATTTTTTACTGAGTAAGAAGAGTTTGCAGTGGTTTTTAACACCAAAACGTGAGTTTGACGCACTCTTTGTTGGAGGAGCAGACCACATAATGCAGGTTAAAGACAGACTAATTATCAGAGAGCATTTATGATCTATTTTTTAAAGCCAAATGTACTCTAATATTCGACCCTTTATCTGTTGAGATGGTGTAGAGTAGGGTGGTGAGGTGGGTGGGAGCGGTGTTCTTAAACTGCTCGTTGTGGAGTACTCCGCACTCTGCCCTGGCTATTGTTACCGCGCCTGATTTGCATTAGCAAAGGGGGCCCATCCCCCCTTCTCCACATTCCGGGGTCAAAGGTTGTGGGGCTCAGATGTATACCTAGCTAATTCCAAACCCCGGGGCCAAACAACAATAGAGACTAAAAGCTTCTCAATTTGCAGGCAGTTCAGATGTGCTATGAGAGGCGGCCGAGAGTGGCATCTGGGAATAAAATGCACCCCCCCTCGCCACATCACCTGCCCCACCCCCACATATTTACAATTCTGATCATTTTTAGCTTATTTGTGGATTTGTTTTTGGTATGATTTCTGTATTATGGATGAGGTTTTTTTTGTTTTGTTTTTTTTTTCCATTTTGCAATTTCTTAAATGCAGAATTTTAATGCAGCACCTCTGGCTAAAGTAAGAACAGTGTCTGTTCAACTTAACATTCTTTGAATTTCAGCAGTCTGCTATAAGCATTGATAAATGATGGTAATTATGTTTGCCCTGTGTGTTCGGTTCCTCTGAGCCAAATATCCATCTTCGCACTATGGGGACATACTGTCTAGTTTGGTAACATCTTGGGCAGTGCACCTGGGCTTGTTAGAAAGAATTGAATAAGCAAAGATTGAATGCAGAGACCTGTATCATACATTTTTGTTGCATTGATTTTTTTTTCCCCCCTTGAGGTCTACCTCTGACGTTTGGGTCATTTTATGTAACAAAACAGTCATAAATAATTTTTACACAACCGTTTTCCAACCTCCCTCTATCCTTTAGATTTGAACAGTATGCAAGTATTTCTGTTGGTCCATTTGTGAGGAAATTTTCACAAAAGACAGCTGTTGTGTATGAGAGAGGGGTTTTAAGAAGTCTGTCTGTCTTCCTTTCTTCCTTTATTTATTTATGCATTTATTTTTGGAATAGTGGCAATGTGTAAATCATGTCTGTGTCTCTTCTGATTGGCTGCCCTGTATTGTGCATCATTCAAAAAGCAGATTGAAATGAAACTTCATCATTATTGGCTGGGACCAACCTGCTGTAGACTGAATAGATGGATGTATGTAAATATGCTGTTTTTTTGTGACATCATGAAACCAGTGCATTCAAAACTGTGACTGTTTTTGCAGGTGAACTGTAGTAACTGAGGAGTGAACGATACTTTTTGACTGTCAGTGTTTACATAGTGCGTTATTTATTTATTTATTTTTTTTAAGAAAGTGAGTAAAATTCTGTTTTTGTGAAATGGGCCCATAAATGTTTTTTTTGCCATTAACTTACATAAAAGCTATCATATAATAAATTATTTTTCAACGCAAATTCTATTTTTACATTTTGACATGCATTAAATACAAACATATACATAATGAAGCTGTTATGTGCTTTTACAATACATGTTTCCTTTTTATGATCGAAGGATAAGTCACAGGTTATTGGACTTTTCCTTCTATATAGGTAAATAAGTAACTGTGCTAGGTGTTTTTCACTCACTTTTTTTTTTAGGGATTTCAAGGTTTTGTTTGTTTAGATGTTATTTTTTTTTAAAAGGAATGTGACATCTGTAATTCTTTTATTGTAAGAAATTCTAAGTGGCAGAGAGGAAATAGCTGCTCATTATCCTTTTTATCCAATGGCTTTGGGCCTGAGGGCTTCCGGAATTGTTCTTGCCACTTGTGCAGGAGAGAGGTATAAACTGTTATCACCTTATCAATTCCTCCAGAATAATTGACAGTTGTAACAGAGGGGGTAGTTGGGTGAGGGAAAGGAAGGAAAGAGAGGAAAAAAAAGAAAGGATGGCCGCTTATGTGTCGCTCCTGTGGGAAATGTGTAAATATGCTTTCAGAGTCTTTCAGGATCACTGCATATTTTCACAGTTCTTCATTTAGGATCAGAAGGCGGGGAGGTTGGAGGTGTGCGGTTGGAGCAGGAGGTGTAAATTTGTTCGCGCTCCCTCTTCTCGGGTGAAAATAGAGCTATATGGTGCGTGTCACCAACCTTGGGTGTAAATTGAGCTGCTGTAGACCGTGTTTAGGTTTTGCCTTTGGACGAAACCTTCCACGTCCTAAAGGAACAATATTATTTATTTAATTCATCTTTAAAGGGCCCGTATTCTACATTTTTTGTATTTGATTTTTCCTTGTTGGTTCCCTTATAACATTTCTTTGGGTTTTGTAACAATAAAAGTCATTGTCATTTTTAAAGCATTTTAACTCATCTTTATCCATTAGAATTAAACAGATTTTAAGATTTATATATCCTTGCTGTAGTGACAAAACCTCCAGGATAATAATCTCCAAAAATTTTCTTAACTTTGAATGGAATGTTTTTTTTCCACGAGTAATTTTGAGACATTTTGTTGTGCCGTTCATCATGAAATTTTAACTCTGTGTAAAGGGCAGCTGGCATTTCCAGATTCTTTAAAAAAATGGATATACAAGGTTTTGTTCTGACGATGTCAATATATACATTACTTCCATTGTGATTGGCTGCCCCTTTGTTGCTGTGTAGGCCTGTATGTGTAAATGCTTATTTTTGTGACATCACAAAAACAGTGAATTCACAGCGTACTGGTTTTGTAGTTAGGTTTTCTGTATATGAACTGTATGGACTGGGGAGTGAATGGTACACTTTGACAATATTTACGTACTACATTAAACTCTTTTATATGGGTAAGTTGTTCTGTGATGGGGGCACTTTAAAAGAGCCATCTTTCCCTCTGGTGGTGTTAAGCAGGTGAGGTGATGTCCCTGCCTGACATGAATGCATGCAGTGTTGACCTGTTTAGGCAGACGCACATTGGTGACTTCTTTTTTGTCTCCTTAAGTGGTCGTCTTGTGCCTTCATGTTTTTAGAAACGTGTAATGCAGGGAAGATCCTTCCCCTGAAATCTGTATCATTGTGTTTCTCGCACAGATATTGAAACAATTTCTTTTATTTTTTCCTCATTCATTCATTTTTCCTTGTTGTTTTCTTTTTTCGTCGCTACAGAAACATAAAGAGCGAGACCGCCACAAACCAAAGCACAAAAAGTCTTTGGAGCTCTCTCCTTCATTGGTTCCAGCACTGATGGTGACCTCAGAGAAGGTGAGTTCACTCACGCAGTCGTGTGCAAATGTTTGGGCGCTCCGATCAAGTGACAGTAAGTTAACACATCCTCTACAGAGAACACACTTCTGCACATTTTAAGACACAATTACTGTTTATTTGCTGAATTTTACAAATTGGAAAAAATGTTGCCTGTGCAAAAGGCACATTTTGAATTTTTTGTTTTCCAATTTGTTAAACTCAAATAAACACAGATAAAAAACTAAGTAAGCCGTAGTCCACAACAAAACAGGAAAATTCAACACCAGAGTCTTTTCAGTGCTTGTCAGGGTTGTACTGTCTAAGGAATCTGATTGTATTAACATTTCACTCTTGATAGACTCTAGTGTTGCTCTTATGGCACAAGCTGCTTCTTGTAACAGTAGACGAGCAATAGCGAAACATATGATTTTAGCACATTAACTGCAGTAATTCAGACTGGCATGTGATTAGACTAGTAAATCATGAAGTGTAGATCAGGTAAGGTTTTCTTTTATTACTCCTATGGCGATACATGTAGATGTCAACCGTCTTTATTTTCATGCATCATAATGGGTATGGTAATGCATTTTATCAAGACTATAAGCATGGGCAAGATTTGGATTTTATACCGTGATAGGCTAGTAAAGGTTAATAGAAACAATAGGTAGGTAGCTGAGCGCTTGTATCGCTGCCAAATTTCTGACCAACGAAAGAACACAAACACACTAGTCTGTAATTTGGTGCCCTTCAATTGTTGCAGTGTGAAACCAACCAAAAAAAGTGAAGAGAGAGAGTGGACTGTTTTCCACTGTAGGGCTGAACGGTTCTCAACGCAGAAAGTAACCATTCTAATGACATTGCCACACAGGGCACAATTCGACACTGAACACTTACAAACTGTGCTCAGCACATTTTTTTTTCTACGTGGTTACTTAACCATGCTCGGGGCCACAGACCCTTTTGGCCCCGAGCCTAGACGCAATGACATGGCTATTTGCTGATTGGTTACCGATACTGATATTGGGTTTCGGACAGATATTGCACTTGTTTACTCATAAAAATTCATGGATACCGACGTTCTGGTATCCAATGGCACCGTGTGACATGAGCCAAGTGTTCGCTGCTGCGTTGATGAACAAACGACTCAAGCTGGCACTGAATCGGCTCACAGAGCAGTTTTACTGACCCCATGACAGTCACACACAAAGCGTTCGGTCACTTTAAACATTCTGCCTTGGTACATTCCCGCTAGACCTACACTGTGTAATTTTTATCCTGTTTTAAACACGCAATCACAACCATTTATTCAATACAGATGGAGTTTGTTAGCATTAGTACACAGTGTGAGTAGCGTTACCATTTTTCAGTGTGTTTGCTCAGTACTCAGTGCGCAGTGTGTTATTTTGAAACTGCTTTATTTGAAATTGTTCATAGACAGAGTTGTTTGTGAAGGTTACATTTCATGTAGCATGGACTGAGCGTTTTTGTACAGTGTGAGTATAAAAATCACAGGCTTTCTCTGTACACAGTGGTCTTTTTTAAACCGGGGTCCACAACTCCTGTCCTGGAGGGCCGGTGTCCGACACAGTTTGGAGATTTCCCTATTCAAACACATCTACTAAACCTTGCAGTTAACAGATACACTTATCTAATCAGGTGTGTTTGAGTAGGTTAATCACCAAAATGTATTGGACACCAGCCTCCCAGGACTGAATTTGTGCTATTTTGGTTTAAACATAGTGTCACCAAAGAACGAGATTTCTAAAATCACACAGTGTATGTTTGACTTTAGAGGACATTCAGCTACAACTCAGCCAGCCAAACAAAAGATTTCAATGTTATAAAGCTCTACACAAGCATCCACTCCCCGAATGTGATTCCTGCTGTCACTGTGCTACAAAGACTGTTATTGAAAGACACAGATGAGGAGCAAAACTGCAGATGTACAGAAAGTGCTTTTCTGACTTGGAACAAAACCCACTTTTCTCCACTGCAACGCTACCCGATCCAAGGTAGTGTTAAATAATAGAACATAGTCAACTGATGCTTCATTTAAAATTAGTTAGATTTTAATGATTTAACTGTTAAGGTACACTCTTAAAAAAATGGTTCTTCAAGGGTTCTTTAGTAAAGAAAATGGTTCTAAGTAGAACCATGGACACTCAAAGAACACTTTGCATGATTAAAGGGCTCTTTGCATCATGAAAGTGTTTTTCAGATTGATGGAGAATGTGCTGTAAATGGTTCTGTATAGAACCTTTTTGAAAATAAGAACCTATTGAAAATGTATAGCATTAAAGGGGTTCTGCAATTGTTGTGATGACAAGCTTAACAATAGAAGAACCCTTTTTGGTGATTTATATAGAACCTATATAGAAAGAATTTATACATCAAACTTGTACTGACACTGAAAAGTTAGTATTAATGCATCGCTAGTCCAACTGCATCTTGCCAAAACCTGTTATATAAGTTCAGTTTGCATACATGGTCATTAAATAAATGAAAACTGCTGAATGTTAAATGTTACATGTTAAATGAGAGGAACTAGTTAGCATTAGCTTAGCTGGCATGCTACCAGCTCTTCTCACCACCGAACTGGTGCAGTTCTGAATATCAGAAGCTACATTTACGCAAGTTTAGATGCTATTGACGGAAATCTGACGAAGCAAAATTGAGTGGCTAGTGTTGGAGGGACAGAAAGCTGAAATTCAGCCTGTTCCTTTTGGATTTGGATATGAAGCCTCCTAGCTAGGCTAATGCTTGCAGGCTCCTCTAGCCTAGTTAGCTTATCTTGTGGCCTATAGATCCAAATACCACAGATTCCTTCTACTCTGTTGTTACAAGTGTAGATGATAAAAACTCTTTTCAGAAACCCAAAATCAGGCCTATTTTACAGTGTTTTGGTCTGTAGCTGTAGCTAATGCTGGTTAGCAGGCTAAAGTTTCCACCCACAGTAGTACAGACTTGGTTTCAGCTCATTGATGCTCATATAACACTTCTTTGAAGGATAAAGATTCTGAGAGCAGAAAACTGAGTGACTGGTGTTGGAGTGACAGCTAGAATCGATCATTTGCACCAGTGTGGAACAGCACAGTATGGCTAATTTGAATAGATTTTGTAATAAAAGGAATAGAGGCCAATGTCACAAAAACCCAAGCTGTTGCAGATATTTGCAGATGAGCTAAGTGTGAAATGTCCGCAGCTTCATCTCCGTAGCTATCAATGCTTAAAGTCCTTACTGTAAAGCTAAGCTAGCATTTGGTGTTTCAAGAAAAAGAAAATAAACAACTGGACATTGAGGTTTTAGCATGATGTCTGATCATGTATAACAAAAAAAACAGTGGGGAATCCACTTTATTTAGTTAGAAACATGATGTTTCAGTCCACATACAAATCTTTTATTATGTTCATAACTATAAAAAAAAAAGTTTGTTTGAACCATAAAAGCTGTTGCAGGTGTAATGACTCTGCTGTGGCCTGTGAATTTGAAGTGCCTCAGAGATTCCTAATAAGTGAAAAAACCTTTCTGTTGATTTGCGTGTAGAATGTCCTTCATTCTTTTCTCAAGGCAGACCTTCATGTCTTTTCTGTTTTTTCTCCCTCTTTCAGAACTATAACAGCAGCAGCAGCGGCAGTGTGTCCTCCATCTCCTCTTCTCAGAAGCGAATGGACGACGGTGGAGGCCGCTTCACCAATGCCAACTTCCAGGAAGTGCCCTCTCACTCCAGCGGGAGCTCCAAGGATGGCGGCTCCACTGACAGCAAGAGCTCAGAGGGCAAGAGCAAGAAGTCCAGCAGCCACAGCTCCAGCTCTGGCTCCAGGGGCCGCAAATCCAACCCAGCAAAACTTCATGGCCCTGTTGTTACCATCGCAACCTCTTCCACTGCACCATCTTCTACCAGCCCCTTTCAGCAAGGTATGCCTACTGTTTGTGTGGATATTTTATTCTGTTCAAACATGAGGAGTAAACAGGCCACTTGAGGCCACACTTTGCAGAGGCTTTAAAAAGGGTGTCCACACATTTTCTTTTCAGAAGTTTCTCTGTAATTTGATTGAGGTGTAAGCAAAGTCGTTCAGAATGGTTTGATGTGAGAAGGTTAACTGTAGAGAATCTCAGATTTTTTATCTTTATAGTGGTGGTGATAGGAATCGGGGGTCACAATGTCACAATACAAATATAGCCGTTTTATTTACTGTTTAGAATGACCAGTGGACCTTAGTTTTTATAGTAAATTTCGATGGTAAAATAGTGGTATTATTTTTATTAGGTTACTGTGTTACCACGACAGTTTTGAAATGAGTTTAGCCTAATATTTTTACCCTTCATCCATGAATGAATTTTAAAAGTAAAAATATTAGGCTAAACCCATTTCAAAACAGTCATCAAACAATGTCTCAGGCAATCGGTAAAATTCACCTTGAAGTCTGTAGGTCTGTTTCACCATCTAACAGGTTAAAGTCTAAAAAATTAAAGGAATAAAAAACAAAGACATTGTTTTTACATTTGTTCATTTTGTTCTTTGTTGCATACTGTATAACTCATTTTTACGAAGTATCAGGTTGTTTACTTCATATACATGAAAACTGTGAGAAATTTCTGCAAGCGTTGTAACTAGTGTGATCCTGCATTTTCTTTTCTCTTCCAAGCCAGGATCTTCCAAAGTATCTCACTTTATATAAGATACTTTATAAGTGCATCTGATTGTTTGTGAATTGGTTAAGAATCTTCAAGCTAGAACCACAGTGCATCTATTAATCGATCCTTTTTCCCACTTCTATGAATCAGTCAGAGTTACCTTTTATAGCAGTGTTCAGTTTGTATATTCCTGGCTGTAAATTGAAGGATCAGTAATAGTAAGTGATGCCTGCGTGCTGGTGCATGTGACGGTTGATCAAGTGTGTGTGATGCAGTTGGATGGAGTCCAGAGGAGTTGAGAGTGTGTGTGAGATAAGGCCGTCGTCTGGCGGGCTTCTGCCGCCGCTGTAATCTAGAGCAGCGAGGGGCTAAGAGCCGACTGTGCTGTGGGGGGCTCACTTCCCCTCCGCTATCTGTTTGCAGGGAGGACATGGAAACCAAGGTCATGTCTGGAAATCAGGGCAGTAATGAAAGGGCCCAAAGTGTTTTTTTTAAATTCATTTTTCTCTGAGGTCCACTTACTAGGTTTGTATGATGCTCTGTATCAAAAACTCTTGTAATTCTTTTTTACACGATTGTTTTTCCAGCTCAGTTTATCCCTTAGAACAGTGGTTCTCAAACCAGTTCTTAGAGACCTCCAAGCAGTGTACAGTTTTGCTCTATTTATGTGTGTTGAGTTGAGTAAAAGCAAAAATCTGCGGCTTTTTAATTAAATTGACTGTTTTTGTTACTGTGCGTTTACGACTGATATATGGAAATGAGCTCTGATTGGCTGTTCTGTATAGTGCCTCATTTAACCAGTAGTCTGGGCTGAAACACTCCATATAACTTCAGCATGAATGGGTGGAGCTAGCTGCTGTAAGCTGAATAGTGAATAAAATATGTGATTTTCCTGCAAAGTTTAGTGCACAATTTCTTTTTATTTGCTGTTTAACATATTGGAAATAATAAAACATTAAACATAACTTTAGCCCATGCCACATTTTGTTTTATTTTTTCCTAATATGATAAATATAGCAAATAAACTGTAATTATTCAATAAAATGTTGAGGATGTATTAACTTATTTTCTTTTGGAAAATCTACAAAGCTTGCAATTTGACCAAGGGCACCTAAACCTTTGCACATAACTGTACATTGTGTGACTATTAGAAATGGTCCAAAATTAAAAGTACATTATGCTAAGGGATTAGATTTTATTTTCCCTCCTACATAGGTTATGTTACAAGGTTCTGATATGACAACTGTGAACTGCTTTTAAAGATCACATGTATTTTGGCCATTTCTTTTAGCCTTTTGGTCTAATATCTGTCTAATCTGCTTTCTGACCATACATTTATAAGAATATAGTTGTCATGCTACTTTAGACAATGGCTGTGGTGTTTTAGAAGCACACAGTCATCTGATCTTGAATCGTGTTTGTCTGATCTTTATTTACTAATGTTATAGAAAGAATTGATTTCGTTCCAAGACTCAAGACTGCTGAAAGCATCTTTAGGAGGAGCAGAGTATGTGAAGTATATAGAGTATTGAAGTTCCAGTGCTTTTGTTTTGTTATTGTTGACAGCTAGAGCAAAAGCAGATTTTTGTGAACAGTTGAAATTTCTAGGAAGTACATTAAGGAAAACTTTGCTAATAAGTAATCACACCTATATTTGATTATTGGTCAATAACAGGATGGTTTAGTAAATAATAATAGGAAGTTCGTTTAGGACAGTAACTGTGCACGCTGCATTGTGGGACTGTCCTTATTATATTATTGTTAAATGCTTGTCGTTTCCAGCTCTCTGTGAATATATGGATAGTGTTTTTCCAGAATATCCTGTCTTCTGTTTGGGACTTCAAGCTTCTGTATGGCTGGTTCATAATTCCTCCAGTAGTATCCATCCATCTTGTTGCTGGTCGTCCTCTTTTACCTACAACTTTTCCAAGCATAATGGTCTTTTCCATGAATGGGTTCTTCTTAGAAAATGTCCAAATTAAGATTTCAGTTTGGTTATCTGGGCTTTGAGTGAAGGGCGAGGCTTGATTTGTTCGAGTAGCCATTTGTTTGTTGTGATTAGCCATCAAAGAACTCTCAAAAGTTCAAAGACGTCTTTGATTTTCCTGTCTCGCTTGTTTGTCTAGATTTCACATCCATTAGGAACCATAAAGAATGCCATAAGCAGTTCTTATCTGTATTGGTTGTCAAGTAATCTGCCTATTATTTTGATAAGTCAGGTAATTCAAGCTCCAGAAAGGTAAAATAATGCAAATGCACTTTACTGAACGACAATAAACCATGCAGAGCTTTTCAAAGATTTTGAAATACTTTACTGGAAAAAGATAAACTAGGAAACATTTAAAAAGACTTCTGAAATTGAAAGTATATAAAAACACTTTTCTGGCAAAAAATTACACATAAATAAATGCACATAAATAGGTAAATCCATAAGGCTCTGTTTCTTACTGTAAGAGAGCAGTAAAAGAATTGAAAATATGCATTATCGTACAAACCTACACAGATCACTGCCATTTTGAAAATGTAAATTGAGTATTATTATTTATTTATTTATTTATAACTGAGTAATTGAATTTAATCCGTTAACTGTAACAGCCTTACTAAAAATGTAGAAGCGCGCCCTATTCGTGCATAGTTGGCGGAAGCATTTTTTGGTCCACGTGTGAAGAGGCCGTGTAGTGAAATTAGGAAATGAAGCTGCAGTAACTCCATGTTATAAACCTGTCCGTCTGTAAATGATCAGAAAATTAACATCTTCATTACTTATTGATATTTTTCTGTTTTTGTATTGTTGAGTCAAATCTCACCACCAATCTAAAGTCAAAAGCTAAACGTAAGGCTATCATAATTGCAGTTAAACTTTATTGCTCAATTTTAAAAAATAAAATCATTGATTAAAATTTTTGCGTGGTGGGAATTCAGATTTTAAAAAAGCTCCTGCTCTCTCTTACGGCAACTAATGCACACCCATTTAGATGTTGTTTATATATATATTATTCGTTAATATATTTTATCTGAATTCATTTACTTACATATTTATTTGTACTTATTTTATTAATTATAATAATAATAATAATAAAAAAAATGTGTATTTGATAGTTACAATCGTAGAATGCATCTTGAATGCTGCATCTTGGTATATGTTTTTTTTTTCTTTTTATATATGTCCACATGTCAAATAGGTTATGTTTAACGATTTTATACCAGATCAGAAAGGATGTAATTTTATTGATAATGTATTATAGTGCACCTTACACCCTGTGGGTCCAGATAATGGTTTGTGTTGAGGTGTAAAAACTGCAGGATTAAGGCTCTTGAGGCCTGTGCTTAAGTAGCCGCGGTGTAGCGCTAGCCATCTTTGGCCATTGTCCAGTACAGAGCCCCAGCTGCTCTGTGTTACTGTCTGTGCAGCTGCAAATGGCTTGTTGACGCCTGTCTTCACCCTATCGAATTACCTACTCTTGCTTAATGTGTATAGAGATATTACTGTGCACCGTATCTATTAGTATTTAACAGGGCCAGACCTATATGAATCATCTGGTACTGATTTTAAGAAGCAAAAAATTCAGATATCCAGTATCAACAATTTTACATGATCAAAAATTAAACAGACTATAATAATTGTACTTAATCTGCGCTTTTTTGGATGATAAGATTCAGTTCTAAGTTGTGAAATTAAAACTGAAATAATTGACAAACAGTCTTAAATTCTATACCTTTGTGATATTTGGTTTCAAATAGTTCTTGAATGTGGTTTTCTTTTATAACATTTAGAGAAAAGTTATCATCACATCATCAGCAGCTTACCAAAGACAACAAATTTATAAAACCCTAATACTATCAGATTTTTTCAGCTTAGTGTGATATTTGTATGATTTGTCAGGCTATTTATTATTATTATTATTTTTTTTTTAATTAATTAATTTGTTTTAATATATTAATGTTTGTCTTCCCTGCCTAACATTATTTTTTACAGTCATATGCAAATGTATGGGTAAAACATAAACATAACAAAATATAAAAAGTGATATAACATTTTGTCTTTTTTTTCTGGCCCCAGTATGTTAAATTTAGCAAGTAAACAGTAATGGTGCATTAAAATGTGCAGATGTGTTCTCTGTAGGGGATGTGGACTTGTTTTCACTTAACAGAATTAACAAAATTAAATTTGATTTTGGCTTATTACTGTTCACAAGTGCGTGCACTTTTGGAAATATTAAACTAAGTCAGAATGTTATCATCAGTTAGTCACAATTTAATTGTCCAAGAAAATGGCTTCAGCTGTGTGTTTTAAAGTGCAGAAAGTTTGAATATTGGGCTATTTTTACCCCTTAAAACACAGAGCTGGCGTTGCTTACTTGTGTAATTAAAGTTGAGTGTAAATATTAAACAGTTTATGCTCTTGTGTTGTCCTTGCCTCATAGGTCTACTGTTGGGAAGCAGCAGCAGTAAGACGGCCTCTAGCAGCTCGGTGGTCCAGCCGACCTCTGACTTCCTCAGCTTCTCTGAGTCCAGCTTGAGGGGTGGAGACTCCTACACCCCGCCCACTTTTGGACGCTGCATGCTGAAGGGCAGCTCTGAGGGTGTAGCTTCAGAGGGCATGGTGGCCCTGAACACTTTCGGCTCACTGATGTCCCTCCCCCAGAACTCCAGCTCTGGAAAACATTATGAAAACTCACACCCTGGTCCTGAGCTTGGAGGCCTGGCCTCAGCTGGATATAAACGACCCCAGCCTTCATCGTCATCTTCGTCTGCAGCTTCGTCTTCCTCCACCGGTGAGGATGGCGTGAAGAAAAAGAAGCGAGGGAACTGGAGGAACCGCTATGGCCCATGTTTCACCACCCAGGAGAGTAAAACTCCAGAAGCACCCGAGCACGGAACTTCACTGCCCTCCTCCACTTCACCTTCACCGTCGTCTTCCTCCATGGCTGGCCGTCCCAGCACCGCCAGCAGCACCAGCAGTACAGGTGTTGGAAGCGTAGGGGCTGGAACCAGCAGCCTTGCCATTCAGAAATCTCCGTCACTGCTCCGGAATGGGAGCTTACAGAGCATGACTGTTAGCTCTCCACCCACTGGAGCAGGTAATGGAGGCGAATGTTAGCATGTGAATGCACACACATCTAAAGTAATGGTTTGTTGAAAAATCAAATGTACACAGTTTTCCACCTGGCACAGATGTAGTTGATCAGCCAAGACATGTTTGGTGTCCAAATTTTGCTTGTGTAATTTACTCCAGGAGCTACAAGGCTAATGTTGCTTAGCAACACTAGAAGTCAAAAGTCACCCACAGTCTTTCCCCCATTAAAAAAAAATCCCCAAAACTTTTCTTGAATTTCATTAAGGTCTTTGCCTGCTTGTATATGTGATTTAAGACACATGACTTGCTGTGAGCTTTACAAAGGAATAAAATTTCCACATCCCTGCAGAATCCGACTCCCCTTCACATGTCTAACACATCGTGCCAACATATTGATGCTATATTATATTCACTTTGTTTGTTGTTTCTATTTTAAAACATACATTTTCTGTTTGAAAATTTCAGATTGACAGTTATTTATAACAAAAAAACAAAAGAAATCTTGAACATAATCTGTAACATCCAGATGCCTGCGTGACATGCGTTCATGTGAAGGGAAGTCTGAGTTTGGAAACACTTGATGTCTAAATAGCTAAGTAATGATTTTATTTATCAGTATGTCAAGTGTTATTTAATTAATTGACTATTTGAACTATTATATGTTCTATGAAATGTTTCAGTACCTTTGCCACTGCCATAATTGGTCTGTGATTTCTTCTTAAATGGTACAACAGAAGAGTAAAAGCTGTGTCGCCCCCTGCACTTCCTCTAGTGTAATCTGTCAGAATGGCTGTATATGAACATCATAGAGTGCCTTTGTTTTAGAGTAAATATCGCTTCAACTTCTTTCCGTAGTCATCATTAATGATGCATTGAAATGAAAAGCTGACAATAAATGAAAAGTTTACATAAAATAAACATGCTAATATGAATACACTATGTAGGTCACAGAACCATGAAATTCAGTGTCCTCGACAGAATAATTGGACAGGCATACTTCTTGCTTTTTCTTTGCACACTTCTTTGTTTGGGGAAATTTTAAAAACGGAGGGTACAGATGGTGTTGGCGTGCTCGCAGGGACTTTTCTTTCTGCTTCCGTTGTTTTGCTGTATTCTGCGTATGGAGTGGGATGTCGAGACCAGGTGGGATCAGACATGTTGTGGAGAAGCTGTTGGGTGTTGTATCTTCTCTTAATTCTTGGCATGAACAGTGAGTACCAATTGCTGGTCTAATGTTGGTCATGAAAACTGTGAAGTAGTTACACGTGGCCGATGTTTTCACTTTTGATCTGCCGCTCAGACTGTTTGAACGCGTCTGTGCTGGCTGGTGCAGGACAGGAAAGGAAACAAACAGCGTTTTTGATCACTGTTTCTCTTTTTTTTGCCTTTAAACTTCTTGAAGCCCTAATATATTTTCTGTGGATAAACAGATGCATTGACTCCTTGCATACATACACTTCTACACTCTAGTATTTACAGATGACAGTAATAAAGCCACTTTCGAGTGATTGGTCGTATTTGCAGTAGTAGTAGTTGTTGGCATTGTTGATCCAAGGCTTTAAGAAAAAGGGAAAGGAATTATTCCTGTTTTGTCAAAAATAGGTTTCAGCTTAAATTGATGATCAGCATAAATTGTTTTATATCTGTTTATATTTCTAGAAAGAGGCCACAGTTGTTATTGTGTATGGTGGAGTGTTTCTAGAGCTCATTAAGACTAAAGTGGATGGAGCTGCTCCATAAAGTGTGCCCTTATGTTTACCTGATTGAGAGGTGGCCTGTGCCCTGCTGAATCTCCATAGAGATGCACATTAACCTGTTGAGCCCAAAGGAGGCTTGCGGGGAAAGGAGCCCATAACAGGCAATTAGTTCAAATGTTATTTGTTCGTTTCTGTCCAGGCCTCTTGGCCTGAGAACCTGAGTGAGCCGGCCAAGTTCACTTAGCTGCTTAAGATGGTGTTTAGAAATGCCCTGACCCCTGCTGGCCTCCTCCATCGCTCAGCTGGAATGGGGGCAACTCTATGTGTGCTGGCCGCTGCCTGGCTCTCTTATACATGTACACCAGATAGCACAATACCGCTTTGTCTTTTACGATACTGATACTGATCTGCTGAATCTCAGCCAATACCAGTGCGGTATGTTTTCTTTAAAAACTACTAAACTTCAAGCTATGTTTAATTAGCTAAGTAATTAAGTTTGTTGTTGAAAAGTACAGTGTTGAAACTGTTCAGACTCACTACTACTCTATGGGGGGAAAAATGTCAACCATAACCTACAAAACTACAGCTAACTGGGAGGGTGGCTAAATGGCCCTCCCACCACACCCCATCTCTCAGTTTGGTGCTAACCAACCTAGCATTTAGTGTTCTCCTCCAGGCATGTTGAGCTGTCTAGTGACCTTGCATTAGTGTGACTTTGAAAAGATAGCGTGGAGCTTAATGTGTCTTGGAGGACGCATGTGCTAACATTTACCCTCCAATAGCAACACTTTTTCGTCCAATGATGATTTGACGGTACCCAACTCTGGCGCAGTTGCGGAAGCAAACACAGTGATGAGCGTGTGAGTTGAGGCTTAATCTTTGTCAAATGACTAATAAAATGACAAAGAAAATTGTGGTTGTAGTGTTATATCATCTTAAATTTTACCACAGAACTATAATCAAGTAAGAATAAACAGAATTGTGTCACGTGAACTTTACTGTCCGATAGTTCGTGGCAACTTGGCTTAGCCTGAACCTGTCTTCTGAGATGTGATTTTACTCATTTATTTTTCACTAGACCTGAAGCTGTTTTGTCGGATGTCTGAAACGTGACGCTGTGGTCTGAGCATATCCTAAAATGTACAGGCTTTTTGCATTGGCATGATATCTGCCTGCAGCAGCTGCATTTCTACATAGCAATCTCATCTATCTTAGGCGCAGTAAACGTGGTTAATGGGTGTAATGGTGGGTAATGTAGGATATCACATCACCCAGCATGTCTAAATGTTCAGTTATGTCTTGCAGTGGTTTGCAGGAAGTTAATAAAGGGGAATATTTGTAAACTTGACAAAGCTGTTGCGGTCATATCCCAGGTGATTGCTAAGGTGTTACTAGGCTGTTGCAGTGATATGCAGGGGGTTGTTTGTGTTGGTGTGGCAGTTCAATTTGAATTTGTCAACAACTTTCTTTCAATTTGAATTTTTCTCTACCAATGATTTCCTATAAGGAAGAAACATACTTGAACGAACACTATATAAACTGTATGTGCAATCGGTCCCAAAAGCACGCTATTCCCATATAGGCTTTACGATCCTGTAAACTTTCATGTTTGTACTCGTGACCTGTGAAGAGAGTGCAGAAAACATACATTGTTAAAACAAAGAACAGTAATGAGTTTTTACCATCACAGACACTGTTACTGAGTAACTCTGTTAACCATCACAGGGCACCAGCCTATTTCAGGCTAGGTTTGTTACAGAATCAGGTGCTGCACTCCCACCACAGAACCCAGCCCCACCACCCCACCACACCCTCCCCCCCCAACCCCCCCTGTCAGCCCCCACCCCCCCACCACACACACACATCCTCACTCCCCAGCACACACACACTCATACACACACACTTACATTTAAGAGCCCTCTCTCTCCTTTTCTGTTGCTTGGCAACCGGGCTAATGTTTCCGAGTTCCCCTCAGACGTGAATATGAGTCTTCCCTCGTTCTGCCCTCCTCTTCATTCCCTCCTCCACTCGGCCAACTGGGCTTTTTTCTGTTTGTTTGGGGGCTACACTCTCCCTTCTGTCCTCCGGCCCCTCACCTGTTGCTGGCCTTTGGCTGGACTGTAAATATTTAGCCAGGGCTAATGGAGGGTACTCTGCCTCATCTGTCTCATCTCGGCCTCCCAGAACAGCGAACAGCCCTTTTTTTTTTTCCCCCACTTTTTTTTTGACTTGTGATGGTTTTATCAGGCAGAACAGCGGGGACCATTATTAAAAGCAAACATTCATCTCACTGGGGTTGAGGCATAAGGCTTTGCGGGGTGCCATTTGGAGTTGAGGGGTTGGAGGGGAGAGATTTTTGCTAAACAATGATTATCTGATATGAGAATTCTGTTTTAGTTGAGGGCAGTATGACAATGTCATCCAACGTCACACTGATCTGATAATTATCCAAATTAAACAGTTTATTCAAGATTTCTGCACAATTCAATCGTTAAGATGGAAGCAGTTATTTAATGTGGAATGCACCTACTACAGAAACTTGGACAGAGTTCTTCACAGTAGTGCTGATAAGAACAAGTAGTCCACTTTACCATTGATATTTGATCAGTCGGTACTGATCTTATTAAACTGATCAGATACCAGCTAGATGTGACCGTCCCACATTCAGTACTGTTTTTTGTAATGATAATGACCGTTATAAAATTGTAAATGTGCAATTCTATCAATGTTTTTGAGACAATAGAAGTTTTTTCAAAATTCTGTAATCCTAAACCAATGGTGTATGATTCTCAACTGCTGTACATTAGCCTCAACTGTATATTTGTTTATGTAGCTTGCTACTACAAAACATGACTACCCTAATAGAGAAGAAGCATTGAATCGGTACTTGGTATCAGCCGATACCTTGGTTCAGGTATCAGAAGCTTTACTGAGAGAGGAAAAGTTTGGTGTTTCCCTGATTTATCATTATCGTGATCAAATTTTGTCATGATATGCTTTTTGAGTATATGATGAGTGTGGTTGTACAAAGACAGATTTAGATCAGTTATAGAGAGCCTGTAAACAACAACGTGAATAATAACTACAAACTGTATAGTAATACCCAGCTGATTACATCATTATCCTATTTCATTTATTCATTTTTACTGGTTATTTTATTTCTTGTCCTTCTGTTCCTTCTCAAATAATTTATTTTTGCAAACATTGACTTTAATATGTCATTTACTCAGTCTTTCATAGCCCCCCACAGTTTTGATGCTACTTTTTGTCCATTCCAACTTGTTCCAGAAGTTCTCAGAAGACCTAA